AAATAGGATAAAAAAAAAGCTGCTATGTTAAGAAAGTGGATACGAAATGGAATATGTCACGGTAGAATTAATTATGTTCTTTAATATTTCAATAAATAAAACAACCAGATTGATTTAATAATGGCTATATACATTGTTCTCCTAGCACGCTTTATGATTTATATAATATGGACAATTATGCAAACGAATATCGATAGACGTAAGAAACTTATCGAATAAGAACATAAAATGCTCTTAATATAAAATCTACGGTAATGTAAAATATATCATACGAATATAGAGATTAACTACGTTAGGCAACTGAGCAAATACATATATCGGAAGAATGTAAAACGTCATAGCAATTATGGACTCCCATGTGCCTACAATAAGATTAGCAACAATAAAACTTCACTATTATTCCATAAATTCATGTAACAATTCGTTAAAAGCGTCGAGTGCCAAAGAAGAAAAGAAAGCAGAAAAAAGGGAACGCGATACGGAAAAATACAGAGCGGAGGGTGAGGATGTGTGCGTACATTTCCGCGCTCTCACGGCGATGGGCAAAAATGAAGGGGCAAGCTGTCGATCCGGTCTGTTAACGAACAAAGCCGCTCCATCGCCATCGCCTCGTTCAAATTCACGTTCGCAAACAAAAGCACTTGCCCGAACCCTCGCACACCTAGACAGACGTCCGAGTTGCACGTCCGAGTGGCATTCTCTAGTGCGATTACTATTAATTCATAATCAGACTGCTGTTGGCGCGGCTTTTTTCCTCCTTGCGGCTACTAAATGTTTTACACTTATCGAGAAACATCAGTCGATAAGATTTATGTGAGAAAAAAAATACGATAAATTGGCGTGGGGGGGGGGGGGGGGGGGGGGGGTTTCACGTAAACAGCGTAAATGCATTTATCTCGGTTATAAGTCGTTAAAAGTACAATTTGGGAATGCACGTCTCATTTTGCCAATATTGATAATTCTCGTGTATCCTCTGAAAGCAGACGGGCCAAAGGACGTTGGTGATAATGTGAGATGCGAATTTCCAAATCGACGCCGACTCGATTCAACTTAAACAAGTACTATTCAATTCTACCGAAAATACAACAGATACTTGTTTCCATCGAGCATAATTCGAATATAATGTGTATAAAAAGTATGTGCGACCATCGCGGCCACAGACTGCACAACAACGGAGAAAATCTCGCTTCGAGCACCTATGGAAATTTTGATAAAGCATTTTATTTATTAACCCCGAGATGCCTGCACATTCGCGATTACGACCGGTTTACAAGTTAGTCAACTCATACAGCAGCGCCCTCTACCTTATATAAGGTATTTTCACGGCTATATCCGGCGATGCCCGTTAAAAAGTAAATACACGTGTGACACCGCGAATGCGAGGGCTTTTATGAGGGAGCATTGCGAACATAAAGTTATGCATTCATTCACTCTGGAATGAATTGAACACGTAGGATACAGTTTTCATTTAACTTCTTTGAAAGCTCTTGGAGGATCTACTCTAGACATGGTAAACTTTTAAGCCTGAAGTTGTAATGGCGAATGAAAATAATTCGGTCTACCATGAAATATTCGGCTTACGTAGTATAATTTATGTATAATGAGAGTGTTAAAGTTAGTGGATCTTTCGAAAATCGTAATATCAAGTTTTACTTAATATTCAACACTCGAAAGGCAACGTTAGATTGTAAATTTTTTTCGAAGCTAAATAATAATTGCTCTAGGATAATCAATATAAATCTTGAATCGAATATTTCAGATGAAAATAGACATTTTTTTTATTTTTTATTTTTTATCGACCAAACATCGATCTTTCATCAATCTTGTTGTTAAAATTTTTGTCTCTCTCTCTCTCTCTCTCTCTCTCTCTCTCTCTCTCTCTTTCTTAATATATATATATATATATATATATATATATATATATCATATGGAATATGATATATGTCATATGGAATACTCGAATCTTTCGTTTATCCTCTTCTTTTGCTAAAAACAAATGAAGGCCCCGTGCTTTCATTAACAAACCTGAATTAATCAATAGCACACCAAAGTCATTTACTACAATGAATCAATTATCTTGGTATTTCCAATTCCATTGCCATCCTTCCGAGATTATTCGACGAGGAAACGTAAGCTGAATTATGAATAGTTAATTAGTCAAGTACTGTAAATCTATGTAACCAAGGGAGTCTGGTATTTGACTTTATCATTAAACGCGGAAACGACTATACTCTTGTGAATATTATCTTACGTGCGTGCGTCTCCGATACTTCAACATGGCATGAGGTACAGTGAGTCGATCTAAGTGAAATGCAGCTGCCGCGAATTTATCGATTCGCTCGCTTTATATTTTGCCTACCTGTATATGTCGGGGAACGAAAGAATGTCAGAGGCCGAGTTAAAACCAAAAAGTGTCATCCCTTAGGAGAATGCAAATTTTTGTCAGGCACCAATCTTCCCAGATCCGCGAACACTCTGGATTTTTTTTTTTTACCCTTTTTCGCCTTCTCGGTCTCGCTTACACTCTTATCGCTTTATCAAGCGAAAAGACCGTAATCTTGCTGCGACATAAAGTTGAAAAATAGTTGGAAGGGCACAAAGGAGAGTAAATTCCTCAAAGTATTTGAGACTGCTGAATGAACAGCGAGTCCTAAGAACTCCCCAACGGAATATACATTCTTGTCGCAAAATGGCTTTTCTATGAGAATTTTAATTTACTGGAATATTTATTTTCGAGAGATTCGCTGCGATTTGTATAACACGGCATGTTATTTTGTCCATAACAGGAAATATTTATCGAGCAATTGCTATAAATCATGCGTGAGATTATATTTAGACTAGTAAAAAATTAGCGTCAAATATTCATAAATTACATACAGTATTTACTTTCAGCGTATATATATTATAATGATATATATATTTTTTATATTCGATATTTTAAAACAAAAAGTTTGCCCTATAAAAACATAGACGCATTTAAGTATGAAACAACATCTCCATAAATTATGAGTAATCCTGAGAATATTGTGTAAGTCTTAACTTTTTTATTGAATAAAATACTGTTTTAAAGCTACGTAACTATTATATTTATATATATATATATATATATATACATATATATATATATATATATATATATATATATGTGTGTGTGTGTGTGTGTGTGTGTGTGTATAATAAAACTTTTAATAAAAACAGAACACGAAATATGTGAATATAAAATTATGACAATAAATATGAATCTCAATATAAATTATTATGTTATATTTCACATAAATAATATTAATAATCTATTTAATTTCACATAATTTTATCTAATAATACTTTGCTAAACATTAAATATAAAATTTTTATCAATTATTACAAATAATGATGTATTATTAAACTTATTTAATAAGAAAATATTTGTAAAGGAAACTAAATCTAATAAATTAAATTTTTATTGACGTAATGAAGCTTTATAATTTTGTTTGTTATTGTACAGTAATTGAAGTAATTGAAAATTAATTAATACTCAAATATTTTAGTATTTAATAAAAGTGAAGATTAAAAGTAATGAAATTATTAGTTTTTTTTATCTTTTATATATATATATTTTTTTCTTGATCCAGTATTGAAATTAGCTTTCAACAAATTTTTCGAAATTATTATATTATTTAAATAATATTCATATTAAAAACATTCAATTTATCTATTATATTATATTATATTTATCTATTATATATTAGAGCAATTGTATAATTTAAATGTCTTATTTTATTTTTATTTTATACATAAAAAAGTCAATAATTCTAAACTAACATATAATTATTAAAAACAATCAAATTATTTAATCGTTATTTGCTCGATAGAATATAAGCTACACAGTGGAAAATAATGAATTTCATTTGTATTAAAAAAATGTTTCAAATTTATTTCATCTTTATGAATATTATTTATTATAATATTCACATTATATTTTCATGTATTTTAGATTTTAATTTTGCAAAAATTTATATGAAAATATTTCAAATAATCCTTAGTATTTAATGAGCTTGTAATTTTATGGAAAATGAAAGGAAAATTTCGTATTCGAAATTATATGTACGGTGTATTAACAATATATATTCCGAATTTAATTTGCTTTCATTATAGATTTAATCCTATACAGGATAATATTGATAAAGTTATTAAATTAATACAGAGAATTTTAATAATATAAATTTAATATAAAGTCTAAAATGACCGATGAAATGTAAATTGAATCATTCAAAATAAAATATTGAATATAATATATAAATATTTCTTCAAATGTATGAGAATTATATATACTTTGAATGATTTTTATTATATTCCATTCAATGTAGCATTTTTTCGGGAGAAAATAAATAATCATCATTTATAAAAGCCGAAAATTCGTATAAATTTTCCACTATTAATTCTATTTACTACATCATGTCACTTCTCATGAAAAAGAAATCGTAACATGGTATTACTTGGTATTACACACTTTCATTATTTACGCGTGTTTTAACTGTATTTGGAGAATGATTTTTTCAACTGAGCTGAAAAGCATCCAACTGCACAAATATAATACGTAGAGAATAAAAATCTTTTTAGCTTTTATTAGTACTCCGATAAAATTATCTGCACATAGAATTTGACACATTTTAACCCATTTTCTAGCCTTTGTATTTGTAAATTTCACCTGGCAATAATAATATTAGAAATATACAACAGTTAAATGATAAACGTTTAATTTTATAATAATGCACATAAAATAGTATTTTCAACATACAATATCCTTGTTGCGCTGCTCTATATTTTATTTCCCAGTGCACAGATAAAAACTGATCGCCAATTGAGGAAAAAAAAAATGTGTAGAGACCCCGGCAAACGTAGACCCTATCATTATTGATATTAAATATCTCTCAGCCAGCGATATAATGTTAATGCATTGTTAACATAGACGAGGATAATGCGTAAATTGTAAAAGAAAACCCCGTTTGCCTGTGTTTCAGACGGAGCTCTCGCAGAACCTGCAACAACTGTCGGAGCGGGCGAGGTCCACGACCGAGTTCATTCAAAGGCTCAAAAGAATGACGGATAAAGTGCACGTGAGTGTACACGACCTTTTCCCCTTTGTCTTTGTTCCGTAATTTTAGACAGCGACTCGTCTTTCCCGTGGCGCGCGATATTATAACGATATTGAAGTGCGCGCCGGGAACAGGCGTAATCAACTTTTTTCGCGATGGGACGAGAGACGTAGGAGCGAGTGACATTTTGAAAGTACCAGAAGAACTTTTGTTGCGTATAAGCCTCGGAGTCGCGCTTATGGACGCGTGGTTCGTTCCAGCGAATACGACGGTACTTTGGCCGTGGGTCATTTTTCCTTTTACGACTTATCCCTTTATTGTCTAGCGCGCGCTCTCTACTCCTTCGACTAATTAGCTTTCGCGGTACGTAATTGTGCCTTGAAAACTATTTCAATGCCAGATCGTCCTTATCGATTTAGTTCCTTAATTCCTTTTTATTACGATTAATAATAGCAAGCTCGACTTCAATGATGATTAATTAGTTGACGGAATTTATATAATTAATTTACGGAATTTATATTAAAAACAAAATCTCTAATAGTTGACGCAATTGGCACGGTTTAATTGAATAGTAAATATTTTTATTTCCTGAGCTGACTCGAACGTTTTGATCGCAAATTATTATTATCTTTCCGATAAAGCTTAAAATAAAGAATTCCTATAATTATTTAACGAGACATTATTAATATGAGGAAATAGTCTTTGCAAATTAAATATTAATATTAATGTAAAGTAAATCTTTCCCAATCATCAATATTGAATTCTTGAAATAACGATTTTTTATTTAAATAATAGTATTAATATAAAAAATAGTATTAAATTATAAGGATAGTCAATTTTTAATAATTTTTAATTCAATATTAACGAGCTTTTTTAACCTAGAAATAAAGAATATATATATATATATATATATATATATATATATAAGAATCAAATAAAGAATGAAAATATATAATCCGATGGATTGAATTAATTCGATAAATATTTTTCATAAGATAAAACTGTAATGTAGAAATGCATTATCCATTGTCTGAATATAAATATGTAATTTTATATCGAAGAGACAAAATTAAGACCGCTCAAGCAATAGGAAATAAAAAACCAACCAAATTAGATGACAAGCAACAACATAAGCGGATCATATATCCTATGATTTTTCCTACTTTCTGTTAAAAGCATCGTTATTATATTTCATTTCTTCGGCGTTTCATGGAGAAAAAAAGAAGTGCGAGTTCACACGCTAACACTAATGTCATTTTGTCGGTAAAAAAAGAAAAGTATTCCAGACGTTCACTTGTATTTTTCTTTTCTATCCTTGAAGTTTCAACCGGAGGATCCATGCGATGAAAAATCACAGAAACTCAAGAGCGGACCGGAGACGCGTTAATTACGCTCATAAGGACGCGGCGGTAACTTCTCTGTATATATAAGTGACGTTCATTTTCGCGTGACGAGTTCAAGACAGCGTACCAACCCCAAGACGAGTTGAAACAAGGAAAATGCACTTTACTCGTAGCCTTGAGACTCGAATCAGAAGTACCGAATTCACAGCGCAATAGAACACGGTGAAACGTGATGTATAAATATGTAAATTTTTCGTTTTAATGTTTTTAACATTATCTCCTTTACATTCTACTTTAATAAACTCTCGTTTATGATTCCATTCTGTATTTTAGAAACTATTTGATATTGCTTTTATATTTATGTCAAATAATGGGGAAATTCAAAAATATAATTTTAAAATGAATTAATTGTAATTGACACTTATATAACTAAGAAAAGAAAATGAAAATTGAAAATTGATTCAAACTAAAATACAATATTGCTGGTCTGTAACTTTTTGCGACTTTCAGATTAACAGAAAATTTTGACAATTTCTTTCATTCTCACAATTCAAAGCTATAAATATTTTTTTAAATATTTTATATAAAAAGAAAAGGAAAATTTCTGATTTTTGATACACAGTAGTTAAAATCATATTACCTTGATTATATATTATATTAAAACATTTTATAAAATATTATCTATTTATTTTTCTATCCCGAATAAATATATTTAGAATTGCATAATATGATCTTGAATTTTTATATTATATTTGTGCATGTGAAACGGTAATTGAAAAATAACAAATATTTTACTGACATGGATTATCATATTTACTCGATGAATAGTTGTATCTATTTAAATTATGAGCAATTATTGGCTTAAACTACTTCGTGTTATTATAGAAATAATTAGCTCTAGCACAGATAATTTTAACGATTGTTATTAAAAAAAAAAGTAATCATTTATATTATGAAATTCACCACGGTGAGTATAAATTAATTAAGGCATTAATAGTTTAACCGTCATTATTTTATTAAGGAAGTTGAGCAAGTTTTTGGTATAGAAAGAAAAAATTATAGGTAAACTATCAGAAATTGCTGAAGGGCGTATGTTAATCTTATAATTCGATTAGCGAATTAGAATGGATTAACGTTTATTTTTTCTTTCTTTAAATTTTCGATGAAAGCGCAAATCACGATTCGATAATAAATTATTGCGATTAAGCCAAGAGAGCTGAGCACCTGGACGCTTTCTGCATACAAAAAAAAAAACAAAAAGTTCTTGCTTCCTCGTCGCTCTGAAAGTGGCGGAAAGGGTGTGCGAAAAAAAATTGAAGGGATCGGCGCTCCCGAACTCTCGTGGATTTAGTAAATTCGATGGGCCGTACACCCACTTTGCTGTGGCAATAAAATCGTAATTAATACTCTCGATAAGTGGAAGCCAAAGATTGAGGATGAAAAAGAAAAAAATCTGTAAATCTGGCAGATATTTCAGAATATTAGACTGAAATTTTATTTTCCATTGCTTTTAAATATTCATTATCAAATATATAATATTCGATTATAATTCATTGAATGGATTTTGAATAATTTGCAGAATTGCCTAATGGCAAGTAAAATATTTGCATAATATGCAGATACTATGAGCAAATCAGGCTTCTTAAAAATACAAAATTTTTAATAAAATAATTATTTGTGCATCTTTATTTTCTTATTATATCACTGTTAAATGAATTTCACTTTTATGAAATTTAATTATAATCGTAATTGGAATCGCTCCTATAAAAATTCTACTATTAAGCGACTTTCAAGTGTTATTAATAAAATGAATATATAAAAGAAAGAAAATACCCACGTACACTAGTCAGTTATTAAAATTATTTTCTTTAGATTGAGTAGATTCTAAAATGAAAAGTAATTTCTTTCCTTAACTGTGTCACTAATACGAAGATATTTCGCAGAGATTTTATCTTATGAATAAATGTAAATTAGATTTAACTTTAATTAAAGTATAAAAATATTGATCTTAATATCTGCACTTTCATAAAGCAACCAAACAAGAGCGTTCGTATTTTTTTTTTAATTTTTTTGTTTTTTCCTTCAAATTCCATAGTACTTTATTAATTAAATTCTTTTGTAATAATCTGAAAAATTGAGTCTAAGAGCTTAGCGAGCGCCTTATTATCGGGGGTCTACGACATTCAAGATAGCTATCTCTTTAAATCATAACTCAGGTGATTAATAAACGAATAATTGGACTGACTTCGTCGCTCATGGATTTGCATTGTTGAAGGGGCACAGTTTTGTCAAGCTTTCGGGTCGGTGATTATAAAATCTTCTCGATCGAGCGATACTACTAATGGCTGAATTTTCAGGAGGAGTGCATCTCACTGGAGGAGGAGGTCGAGGAGCGCATCAATAGCCTCGTAGCGATGCTCCATACTCGCAAATCCCGGCTGATCGAGGCTGCGAGGCAGACGCGCGAGGCTCGTGTCCGTCTTCTCCGAGATCAAGTGTCACGATGCGCCGGCCACCTCACGACGACGACGGGCCTCCTCACATTCTGCATCGAGGCCCTCAAGGAGACCGACAGCGCAGCCTTCCTCCAGATCGGCGGTATGCTGTCGATGCGGGCCGCTACGGCTGCGGGCTCGTGGGGCGCCGCCGAGGGAGTCCAGGAGATCGCGAGATTGCCACTCCTGGATCTCACCCTCGACGATAAGCCCGTGAGGCGAGCCGTAGATCAGCTCACGTTCGTGCAGATGAAGCGTAAGTGCCATGACACGAGGGAACCTTGGTGGATCGATGCTAAGGGCTTAATCGGTAGCGGGGTGTCCACGGTCCCCCTTCCCCCTTTGTTATTGGTAACACAACCTTCGAGTAGAATACTCTGGTCAATGAAAAGCTGTTATACTAATTTTATTGTAAAATCGAGTTACTAATCATAAACTAAGAAGAGGGTTGATGCGCAGAGTTTTCTTTCTTCTAGCACACTCGTTGAATTTTAATTGAAAATAAATATCTTCCCGTGTAAATGATGTCGACGAATTTGTCAGAAGTAATGCACATAGTAATTTATTTTTCATTTTCAATAATCGCAGGCTAGTCGAATTTTGAGTTACCAAGGTAATTAAGTGGCCGTACGTATAAACTGTTTTTACGCTATATGATTTTAAACGAATTCTTATCGCTGGCAATTCTTCTGTTTTCAATTTCGGAAAAATTGTGTATTAGTATGTTATGAGTATAATCTATGAGTATCATTATATTTTCGTACATTTTTTCAATGAACGAATGGACATGAAATCGCTCAGAAAATTTCAAAATAAATTAAGTTGAAATAAAGAAAAAACTTGCAAAAGCAATTAGTCATACTTTAATGCTAAAAGTCCGCATTAATACAGTTTGTTTATTAATGAAAATTAATAATAAGAGAAAAAAATGTATCAAGACTTTTGTATCGATCATATATAATTATAAATACAATGAGTGTATTCTATCGGAATTACACATGTTATTTTTTATTGAAAATATCTTTTGCTTCTGAAATGCATTAGCTCGAAAACAGTTTATCAACATTTTTTTCATTAAATTAACTTATATGCATATATAATGCTCCAGTCGCTTTATCTTGCCAAGACAAAAGTTCGCGTATAATATAACAATATCGTATTCATAAGAATACAAATGGAATATCTAATGTTCTGTCATATTATAATGACATTTGACAGCTCGAAAATCATCGATATTAAAGGAAGAACGAAAACTGTGCAGCTTAATCCCTTAAAATATTCCTCTCATTACCATTAATTATAAGCTTCTTTAATAACCGATTAAAAAAAAAAAAAATAAAGAAAATCTTTGCAATTTTTGCGGACGCAGCCATGGAGGGTGAGGACCGCTATCCAACTACAGGTAATGTAAAAGCAATGAAAAAGGGATCTATCTATAAATCCATATAAATATCCCCATACATTTTCCCTCTCTTCGTCCCTGCTCCCCCCCCCCTCTCTCTCTCATCGACACAAAATTAACTCGCTAATCGTCGCCGTCCATTTATCTTACCACGTATTAATATATCTATACCTGCAGCCGAACCTCCAGACATTCGACGAGTCTAGACAGCGTTCCATCGAGGGCCAGATTTACTTAATAATAACATCCTTCCTGCTCGGATCCTCTAACGTCGTTATTTCGTTTTTCGACCGAGCGTTTCAAAAGCGGATTAATTAGCTCCTTTAATGATCTTGCGAACGTTATATATGTGCTGCGTATCTCGAGAGCGTTGGGGCTTCGTGAGTCAACTTAAGTCTTCTAATATATGAGGAAATCCGAGTTCCCATAGTTCAGCATTATTTTAAAATCCTAATATAAATGTTAGCTTTGCCGTTGGAAAATTTTTAAAAACTTTTCATACCTCTATGAATATTAATCATACCTTCATTTGTCTAGTTTTTATTATAAACTTCAACGCGTTTATTCTCTTTCCTTTAATTATCACAATAATGTTTTAAAAAATCGAAGGGATAAGGCTTTTTATTTAAATAGAGTCCCTTTAAACGAACGGAACTCTTTCAATTCTCTAAAGACCAATTAATATTTTAATGAATATGTAAAATAGATTTATATTTCATATTGAGAAAAGTTGTAATACCATATTATATTATCGGTAGATAATGTTTTACGTAGCAATTATTCATGTAGTATTAGTATATTTATTAAACCGATTGAAATAAGTTTTTATGAAAACGAATGGCAGGCATGGGACTGGATTTGCCTTGAGTATTTGAGAAAGTGGTTACAATGATCAATGGATATTTCGGATAAAAAAAAAACGTCGTGTAACATTCTATATTGTGACACTAACATCTTCCCTCTTGTTCGGATCCTAATCAATTTTCACAGTTACGCGGGAATTTCCAAGACGGAATAAAAAGTAGTTGGAAACGTATTATGCGTTATCTCTCGCGTTATCTCTCGCAATATGTCATCGTTCATGAAATATATTACTGAATAGCCATTTCTATTGTTATTTCATTTGCTTTTTACTTACGATCCTGCATGCAATTTGTACAATCCTTTGTCCGACTGATCCCTTGACTATTACTACTGCCTATAAATGTCAGTGCATGATCTCGGTGAATGCTTAGCGTTAGTAATGTTTCGTTACAGTGTGTCTCTTCGCTTTTGCTTTTAATTTCAAAGTTTTTGTTTTCCAGTACGCTAATGAGCAAATTTAAATAAAATTGAATATACGTGACTTTGAAACTTAATTCTAATAATTACCGAGTGCCAAAGCACTGATGACATAGCTGTATGTAATATACTTAGAAAAAATTATTGTGAGAAAAACGATCGTATTAACATACATTTTCCGAATTTGAAAGTAATTTGAAAATGCAAAAACAGTTCAGAATAGATTTACGAGCATATTTAACTATTCATATTAATTGTTAACAATTGCTCCGTAAGATAACTGCTACTCTGACTGTATTTGAATTATTTTATAAACATTACTTGGCTCATGAGCGTACGAAATCTTCTCAATTCATATTGTAATGGTAAAGTATTTAAAATTTTAATTATTTATTTTTATTAATGATGTTACAGCTTTATAAAGTAATTTAATATATTTGAACAGACACTTAAAATTGTTTGATACCGAAATATCACGCATACAATCTCAACGAATGACAATAGTTAATTAATAATAATAATAATTGATTGTATTGGTTGAAGCATTGATAATGAATGTTGTAATTTAAGAAATGACTGTTCAAATTATTCTCAGTTTGTTTATATTAACTGATAAATATGCATCTCCATTGCAGACTCTCGACTTATGTTTATTAATTATCAATGATCCTTCGATAATTAATAATTTTTCGATGCTTCCAACTGGAAATGCAAATACGTATAAATATTCACCCATAGTTTTTTTATACCTAGTGTTGGCCTTGAGATTCTTATGTATCCAAGTACACGACGAGCAAACGACAGTAATAGATTACTGACGCAATCACCAATGAATTTTATTTCATACGTCGCGGTTTCGTCGTAGCGTACAGAAAGCTTAGCTTTAATAAAGTGAGAATATTATTTCCTTTACCAAAGGGAAAATCAAAGGAACCTACGTGCCACATCGATCTATACACAAAATTAATTTGATATTACTTTAAAATGTACATATCAACTATAAAACTCTATTAATTTTCATTGAATATTCAACTTTCGCATATATGTAATTCCTTGAAATACATTGCCAGATTTAAAATAATATATAATATATAAATATCGTTTATAACAAAATGTTTATATTTCCATATTTACATTAATGTAAATTTACACCATGAGCAGTGAAATAATAATGATATCTAAAGAATTACGTTCTAAAGAAAATTATGTTAAATAGATTTGGACTCTCGTGGATTAGTCGCGAGATTATTACCTTAGAGAGCACTATTACACAGCATGTGCAAAACATAAACGAAGCTGCGTAATAATAATAATAAAAAAAAAACTATATATATATATATATATATATATATATATATAAGTAAATAATTAAAAATATAAAATAAGTATAACGATGAAATAAGTTTAAATTGTCGTGGTTGCTAAAAGAAAAATAAGGATAACTAAAGCGATGGTACAGCAACGTAAGTATTCTCGGCAATTGCATAAAGACGTACTTAGAAAATGGAGTTCATCACTTGTCTCGCGGCCCTTTCTTCGCAAAGATCCAATCAATTTACGTTCTTGAGACGACTGCGCTAGCTTTAGTTACAACCCTCATATACTTGAAGCGCACTTTTATGAGAGCGAGAAGGCTCTCGAAAACCTGCAACGGTAACGAGCTCTAGACCCAGGACGAGCTCAGAAAGTTCCTCGGCAAACTGTCGGATCGATCGCTTTTTGATGTGATTGGATATAGAGATTATAAAAGATTTATATCAACATCTGTGTCTATCAAATATTTGAATTTCGCTCACTTCAAAGCATATAGAGCTTCTTTATACGATATTAATAGATTGTTTGCTTTGACTTTTAAACTTATCTAATATGAAGCGCCAAAAACATTAAGGGGGTTAGTTCTTGACTCACCGGTCCCTTCTTCTTCCCTTTGTCCTCGTATCCTATAGCAATCTGTACTTTTGATCTATAGTTGGAGTGATTCACTGCATTTATTTCGAGTGAATTGATAATTATTATTAACACTCATATATCTACTGGAATATACTTATTAGAATATGTAGGGAGATTATTTAAAAATCTATCGAAATACCTATTTACAAGAGCATAGTAGATTACTGTATTTTCTATGAATTATAATTTTTTTGAAATTGTATTAGTTCGCATTTTGTTAACTAATAATAAATAAATTATCATTGACCCTATTGTTAGTACGTTGCCGAAATATTTGTTATTCGTAATTTCCAATTGAACTGTAGTACAGTTATTTTTTAATTCTATATATTTGCAGTAGTGTGTTTTTATTTACATTTATAAAGAAATATACGAATAATATTTTAATATTTTCAACATTTTGAATGATATTGGATGATTTTATTATTATAAAAAGTATATTAAAAAACATTAATTGTATTAAAAATTTTTATTTCAATGACGGATAGTCGAAGAGACGGATCGGTGGACTCTAAACATGAAACAAATTTTTTTAATAAAATGTCTCATATGAATACAATTTAATTAAGAGTTTATGTAAATCTTTGTAATAGATGCTTTTACTGCACTTGGTTTGTTCTCGAAATTCTAAACAACAATGCGACATCGAATGAAAAGCATGTTAGGAAAACAGCCGGTGCAGGAAAATGTACAATATCTCAGCAGGTGGGGAAATAACTTTGATGAAAATTGCTGAACAAAACATACTCGCCATAGTTTATCGGTGGTCAGTAGATAAGTTTCTTTAAAAATTATTAACGACTGATCGAGTTTATAAGCATACGAGCCCTGGCTTTCACACAACCACAGTCCAATTAATAAAATGGCATTAAAGTCAATGTATGGACAATGTTTCATAATAAAATTATACCGCATCGTTTGTCGAGGATTTTTTTTTTTTTAATATGGAAAAATTGAAATATATATATAGCTGCGCTTAGAATAATTTTAGCTTACAACGTGCTAATTCATTTAAAATGAGTTCTAAAAAGTGGTATATTTGATTATTATTAAATTATTAAGTAGAATAGTAAAGCAAGATAAAGATGTGTAAAGCTTGCAGACATCTTTTCAATTTTATGGACATGTACTGAAGAAATCGATATCTGAACATGCAACATCCAGCACATGGCATGCAAAATTAAAATTTTACTGTAAAATAGCTTAGCACTGATTAGCAACGTCGTCATAAATGATTTTTTTTTTTTTTTTTTTTTTTTAATCTATAATGGAAAGTCAGTAAATATATTTATTTATATTTATTTTATGTTTCTTCATATGAGAGATTATGCTGATAAATATTTTCATCTCCCTTATCTGGCAAATAATTCTCTAACGATAGTTGCGAGAAAGGTTGCACCGCATTATTTATATAAATAATTATTTTCGTGAAAACGCCACATAACATATAAACGTATATTTGTTTGAAACTTATACATTCTATGGAATTAAATTTTGACTGTGAAACATTTGGACAAACCCCATGGCAGCTTGTATACCGATATCCTCGAATATCGCAGAAGCTTTTAAAGATTTTCATGGATATGACTTAAGTATTTATCATTATTCTAAGAGTTTCTCACAGCTCATTATAAACTTGGCTTTAAAGTAATCAAAAGTTGATTATATCCGCTATACAAGAGAGCCTTCTCCTAATTACATTTATTATGTTAAAAATTTCCATTCTTTATCAAACGCCTCTTTTCTACTGCTTCCAAGGATACTTTATTAGAACAATAACCGAGCCTTAAGCTTTTTAAAACTTCTTATCGGGCAATATTAACCGCGGCCGGAATAATCCCAAAGACAGAATACACAATTTCAAACAATTATCAAAATAAAAATATTTGCGCGCTATGAAAGTAGAAGCAAACTTCAACATCACAGGACAAAACAATCGGAACAAGGTGAACGATCAATTAATGTCGCTCGTAAATAAAACAAAGAAGTAAAAAAGGTGCTCTCGTCCCCAAACCCTCTCACCACCCCCGCCGACCGACCAACCGGCAATCCACTTCTAATTAGCACCGGCTCGAGTGGCCCCGAGAAGAATCCATTAATCAAGGCCAAAGAAAGGCGTTATTCCGAGGGGTGGGTGCGGGTTATTCGATAAGCCCCACCATCTTACCGCGGATGCAAGCAGCAAACATTAAGTCGAGAGTCAAGGAGTCTTGAAAGCCCCTAACGATAACCAACAGTTTCCTAATGTACTCGCAGCCCCGGGAGCGCCGATCCTCATACCGGAAGAGTGCAGCGCGGAGAACAACAGCGTGACTGTCGCGTGGCAGGCGCCACAAGGCTGTGGTGTCGGACAGCGGGGACCGGCGGTCGAGGGCTACCTCCTGGAGCTTGACGACGGCTGCGCCGGAGAGTTTCGGGTAAGTTTTTTCCCTTGGCATGCGATTGCTTGCCGTCGTTTCATACTGGCCTGCTCCGAGAGTTGAAATTACCGAGACACCCACTGAACGCTTTTACGGATAGTGTTACGAGGTGAGTTTGCGATAGGGGGGGGGAGCTCGTTTTCCGGAAAACTTGGTCTCGTTTAACGGCGGATCGGGACAATTTTGGCTCCGTTAGCCAGACATTGGGATACAACGTATTAAAGGGTCGTCAGGCTTCTCCTTAAACTGCAATTGCCCGTATTGAAGATACTTTTTCTTCTGGGTTAATTTTACTAACAATTTTAAAGCTTCGTCCCGTGCTTTTATAATGATGCTTGTGTTGGTAATGGGCTAACGGGCTTTCTCAAATATTAGTCGCTGTTTTTACTTTATAATTTTATACTAATTGTATTTTTACGGAGAGAAATAGGGAATATAGGATCGAGTTAATTCTAATAATAATTTAAGCACGAATTACATAAATTGCCAATGAATTGTAATGAAATTTGGAAGGGACAAAGTTTTTTATAGTTGTTGTTTTTTTTTCTTTCCTCTAGTTTTTTCTTCTTTGTTTTAAGAAACAATCAAATATGCTGCAAATTATCCAGAAGCTTATGCTTTTAGTAATAATAAAGTTATCGACTATTTGTTTGAGTTAATAGCTCAAGCGAACAATAGCAAACTAAGTAAATCGAAATATAAAAGATTTTTTTTTCTTAAAGTTGTGTACATTTTCAGAGGCAAAATCATTAAAGCCAATGAGTTCATTTTAATTCATCTTAAACGTACTAAATACAACGTTCAAATTACTAAAAGCTTCCAATATATGTTCTTTTGAATATAGGATAAAAATATTTGTATTTTGAATTGAATTTCATGCATATCAATATAATCGGTAGTGAAATAATGTTTGTAATAACATTAGAAGATTATATTTTTTCAAAAATTATAATATGCGTAAGTTCATTACATTTTTGTGTGAAATTTTCATTGTATCATTGTTTTCATTGTATTGTATAAACATTGTTAAAATTGGCCTAATCAGAAAAATAATATGTTTACTAGATAACACTGCTACTTTAATATCAGAGAAAGGTAAAATTTAATTTTTATGCAGTTGTACAAATACATGTTTAATTAAGTGCATTAATTGTTTCATAACGTAAATATGTAAATTATAAATATATATAATTCTACCGTAAAACTTACTTACATATCTTAGCACTCGGCATAATATTCTCGAATAAACATTTAACATATAAACATGTAGATTTTAATAAATTTGTACTCGTATATTTCAGAATGTTAACGATACAAAATTGCTGAACGATTATCATTATGTTAATTTATATTTCATATAAAATACAGAATTTTTAAAAAGTTTAATCCTTACTGAAAATATAACGGCAATTAAATATTACATAGTTTTCAAGATATTTACTTGACATTTATTATTTATTATTTCATTAATTAAAATACGCGCCCATTCTATAAATTTAATAATAAAAAAAAAAAATAAATAAAAAAAAAATAGGCTGACATTCGAAAGTGCTTGTTTCTTAATTTTTAATGCATAATAAATTCGAGTTGAATTTAAAGTAGACGAATAAACCGAATTAAATTAATTATTGTAATAGAATTGATAAAATTCAAGTCGTGCAACGTCAATTAATCGTTAATTTAATAGATATGAAAATTTTAAATGACAGTGATATTTTAAATACTGAAATTCTCGCTACTATTCTTGGAAAGTTGACGATCGATAATTTTTTTTTTTTTTTCTTCAAATAAATATTCTGAATACTAATATACTTTTGACTAAAAGAAAAAAACTGAAAAAACTCAGCGAGCATCCAGCACGTACATACTTCTTTGATAAGTATGCTCGTGTTTTCGGAGATTAAGAGGATTCATCATTGCAAATGAATTCATCAACCCGTGATAGCCAATAACCTTTGATTATTATTGATGGAAACCTACATTTACTCTCAGCTTTCACCTTTTGTACTTTTGGAATTTATGGGTCTATGGCTAGCCGTAAAAGCGAGTGCAAGTACATTAGAGACGAGAGCCTAGAAATTCACGAGTCTCCGTCCATAGCGTTTATAATATGAGGAAATGTCCCTCGCTTGTCCCTCTCCTCTTGCTATTCTATTCCGTTTCCGTTTCCGTTCCCTCTCCGACTCTCGCACAATAGGGCATGTATGTTTTTCTCCGGAGATTTATTAATAAATCACAAGGTTGGTCTTAAGGATATCGAGAAACGGCTACTTAAGAATTTATTTATGACTCTCGGTGCCGGGATGCGAATTCATAACTTCACAATATATTGTTAAGGAGTCGGTATATACGAGGTACGGAGCTACTTTATTTAGTCTCATTTTCAGAAATCCGCTTTGTCCTTTTGCTAATTTATGTCATAATTTATAACGTAGAGACGAGCAATGATGCATTTAGCGATTTTATAATATTGATAAAAATGAAGTTTACAAAGTAACGTAGATAGCTTAAGAAATTCTTTAATACTCTCCTTAAAATTTCACAATTTTATGAAGTGCCAGTCGATCATTCGTAAGTAATAAATTTATGAATTATGTCGCCAATGAAAAATGATCTCGTAAGAATTGTGTATGTAAATTTGCGCTCAAATATGAATATTTCATTATATAGTTGGAATATAATTGAGGAAAAATATATTTAACATTAATGTAAATTATTGGATGCACACATTACTATTTACAGTTGAAATAACCAAGAGAATCATTTTGAAGAAGTTACGCTACGGGCATTACGTTATATCGATTAAAACTACCAAATAGAACATTTAGCGAGATTTCCCTTGTGACTTTATGCTGAAATACAACTTAAGTACACGACTTATTTTCAAATTCTGCGTGCTCCTCGTTTTTCAATTCAAAATCTCATAATCTCTAAATGTTGTTATTGCCTACGGAGCTATAAGACAATGGAAATTTTAGAATCTAAAAGTTTTCCACTTTTTCATCCCCTCACAGCCGTATGATCTTCCTAAGAGCTAATAAGCAATGACAAGCGAAGGCTGCCTTGGAGCAGCATCTATGCCAAAGTATAAAAATGACTTCGTAAAAATGCAGCGAACGATGACGCACTACCATATTGACGCGACAGTACGTGTATTATAGAAGGAAAAGTGATTCGCACGGCTACCGTTCCTTGGCCTACCCTCTAACGTAGGATATTAAATTTAAAAAAGTCATAAAGACGTGATGCGACAGCCGGAAAAGAAAAGGGAATAGATGCCAAGGGGACGGCACGAATAAGATGCCGATAAACGAGCGACTCACTTTATCTCTCGCTCTCTCGCTCTCTCGCTCTCTCGCTCTCTCACTCTCGACATATTAAAACGACACGAGTGATTTTAACTTTCCTCCTTCGCTCGCTCCTTCGTGCATCTCGCTAGACTCGTTATTATATACTTCATGAAACGAGTATTTACTCAGCTGGAATCCGCTATGTATTAATGCACACAGCGTATATTCATAATGTTTGGTTAGAGAAGTGGGAAATAATAGCAAATGATGTGACTACTAAAATTTATCATTATGCATTTGTGATGGTTTGCGCGTTTATTAACAATGTGCCATGGTTTTTGAAAAATTATTTACTTAAACAGATACCTCGATAGAGACTCATTGTATTAATAATGATAATTTTCGACAAATCGATTCGATAAATCCAACATCATACGCAATTATTCCTAATTTCTTCTAAGTTAAATACGATAAAACTTTCTCCAATCGTCTCTATTTATCGGAACATTCATTAAAACATTCAAATAGCTGATCGCTTTTTAAAAAAAAGCGCCTCCAACATATTCAAACAAAGTATATTGAAATTTATTGAATTCTTCGCAAATATATAATAAAGAAGCCAATATTAAAACCGAATGTAATTATATTTTTTAATTTAATCGATTTTTAATCATTTTATTGATCTAACGTTACGCAATCGACTATTGTTATTATATTTAAATCACTCTCCAAACTTTCTAATGTTTTAAGCAAATATTTAAGTTAAGTGATATATTTTATATATTTGTATAAAATACCAATCTAAAAGTTTCAAATCACACTCACTTACTTTCAATTCATTAATTAAATGAAGGATTATAGTTAGTTACACATATAAATTTTCATTTTTGGCAAAAAATTTTAACATTTTTTCTCAGTAATTTTTGTAACATTTTATCTATCGTATAATAATACGCCATGTATTGCTGAGAAATTTTTACAGATTAGAGTTTCATGCACATTAATCAATACCGGTTTTGCTAAAAGAATTATTTATTTATTTATTTATTTATTTATTTATTTATTTTATTTTATTTTTATTTTTTTTTTTAATAAAATACATTATTCCCTACATTGAATTATTACATGTTATTCGTTACTCTTACCCTTAGCCCCCCATGATCACGTTATCTAGTTGTCTTTAATATCTATTTGGAAAAGTCATTTTTATTATTGAAACACATTATTTTATGTAATATAATTTCTAACGATAATGACCCATGATACTTACAATTGCAAGAAACACGTCTCTACCGATTATACAGAATCTTATTCAATGGCTTAAGTATCATGATTCGATGAGCGACGAAACTTTATTCTTCATCGCAGAAACCAATAATCAGGAAAAAATCTATCGTTAATTTCTTCGTTTCTTGACGAAGCGCCTGCATTAACAACGTAAAACAACTCTCCCGTAAGAGGTCATAAAAGCCTGAATTACGAGCCCTCGGTAAATAACTGATAAACCCCATCTCGCGTCACATACCTCCCGAACGCTAATTGCCGGATGTCGTCGGGGGTTCTCGCTTATTGGGGGAAAACTCTCAGAATCATTTTTCATACGATCCGGGAATTTATAAAGTCCGCGTTTATTTACTGCTCGCAGGAGGTGTACTGCGGCCGCGAGACGATTTGCACGGTGGATGGTCTTCACTTCAATTCCCTTTACAACGCCCGGGTGCGGGCTTTCAACAGCGCCGGTGAGGGCGAGTACTCCGAGCTAATAGGCCTGCAGACGGCCGAGGGTAAGTCTAAAGGACATCACGATGTGTTTGACGAAAGAGGGCAGCCGGTGATTTTGATGTCACGATGCTAGCCAACTGATACCCGCGGCCCCGACTCTCACATTATTAATCCATTTTCTCCTTTTCACGACGGACCGTAGGGGGCATTTCATTAATGTCGCATAAATACGAGTGAAAATTGTTGCCAAGAGAGGCGCTGGACCTCAGGCGCACGCGGTTTTAACATGTTGCTGACACGTTACGTGTACTCCTAGACAAGAAAATCCAAAAAAAAAAAAAACAAAAAAAAAACAAAAGAAAAATTAATTTCAATACACGCGCTATGGTGGACCAAACACCTACTATACTATATCCTAATTTATAAGCACTTTATAATAATCCATAAAATCCATTGCTGTGGTTTACGATGAGTAAAGTATAGTCGGCCGCCGCTACGCTCCAACAGCTCTAACCAACAGCAGGACTATGAAAATTACCTGAACAAAATAAGCATTTAATATATTATTGACTTTGGCCAATTATAGTCGCATGGTTCTCGTGGGCGATGAGCACCCCGGGATTGCCGCAAGAGGTATCGATGTCCGAGGATACGATGAGCGCTTCCTGCGAGGGATACGAGCACCGAGTCGTCCTCTCTACCGTTGGCTTCTCTCGAGGACTTCATTATTGGGAGTTGACCATTGACCGATATCACAGTGACACCGACCCGGCTTTTGGCATTGCACGAGCGGACGTGTCACGTGACCAGATGCTCGGTACGTTCACCACGATGACCAATGGGCCAAACACCGCGTCCATTAGCATCGTATATTCAATTTTATCTCTGATTTATAAACGATATAACGTGCATTTCGCAAGATCACGTCCGAAATAAGAGAGTATAATATAAGTAAATAGAGACTTTCGGCGTAAATATTTGTATGAATAAGTAAGTATCCGCGTATATGTGCAAATAGGCGACTAAGAGCTGAATACGAGTTGTTAGTATTCGTTATGTATGTGATGGTAGGTAAGATTTCAGCCCATTTAGCCTTTCTCGAAAATAAATAAATCAACAAAGTTTAGCAAAGATCGAAGAAAATATTACACGAGAGTAATTTCGGGTTTCGAACTGCAATTTTTTGTGCAAAGTACCTACCAAACTGCTACCGACACGAGGAGCGAAAACTTCTTTACGATACGACCACGACTTGCAACTCGGGAAACAAATCTCAATATTATTTTTTAACTGCGGTAGCACGTGCACTCGCTTCATCCCCTCAACCTCATCCCCATAAATAACGACGGCCAATCCTACCACAAGGACGAAATACAGCGACGCCCCCCACCCACCGATTCATTAGCCGCATATCGTCGTAAACGCCGGCAAACGCCATTCATCCGAGCTTTATCATAAGCAACCCCTCCTGAAAATGGATAATAGGCCCATAAAATAATAGGACCGATTAAATTCATCCACAGGCAAGGACGACCGAGGCTGGAGCATGTACATTGACAGGCAGCGCTCGTGGTTCATGCACGGCGGGATTCATGCCCAGCGCACCGAGGGCGGCGTCCAGCAGGGCGCGACCATCGGCCTCCTCCTTGACCTCGAGAACAGCCATACTCTACGGTTCTTCGTGAATGACCAGGCCCAGGGCAGCATAGCCTTCCGTGACCTCTACGGCGTGTTTTACCCCGCGGTGAGCCTCAACCGCGGTGTCACCGTCACCCTACATACGGGCCTTGACGTGCCCCGGCACCTCCACGTGCTCAATCACCAATTCGAAGAACCCTGCATCGTCGGGGACGTGCTCCAGAGCTAGGGGTACCTTAACGTCTTGAGGAAGGGCTTGCTCATACAGCAAGAGCTCCTGCACTTTCCCCTCCACCAGGTAACTATGCTTGGCAGGGATATTTTACCTCCGTCTTTATAATAAACGTTACTCTTCACTTAATTGATTATTATTGCTACGTGAATAATAACGTTAACCGACTCATCGACTCATCGAGTGTTAGAGCGAATGGAAATATAGATGCTAATTTTTCGTTCCAGAGTCACGAGCGCTACAAAGATATCGGTGATCTGGGCCAGGTGCAAACGCTTGAGAGGATCGTCGAGGAGAGTATTGCAGATGTCTGCGCTTAAGGGAAAAACTTGTTGATCGAAGCCCACCTACGCCGTATATTTTACAACAATAATAGTTATTTTTTATTTATTTTTTTGTTTTGTTTTGTTTTATTTTGTTTAAATGACTTTATTTTTACAAGAAAGGTGGTATTTTCTCGTATGTAACGTACAAAAACCTCCAATGCCATATTATTGATATGTAATAACGCGCACACGATGAAATGCTAACTGGGCATAATTGTACAGAGAAAAATACTTTATAAAGTAATCGTAATTTCGATAACACTTAGGACATTAGTACTTTTATTTTTAATTATTACTCTCTACCTATTGTTACAAAATATTTATATGTTTAGTTTAAGGAACATACAATGTTTCACATCACCCAGCCTTATTCTTTAATACCATCGACACGACCACCACCACCACTACTACTAATATCATCATCGTCGTCGTCGTTTTTCAAGTGTTCGACTATTTTAATTTATCAAGGGCGAATACACAATTTCTATCAAAAATTTTATATTTTCTTCTTCAGCTGCACTGTGAATAGTATTGAAATTTATTATCGTTAAGCTTCTAGTATTATTATTATTATTATTATTATTATCACTATTATTAATAATTATTTTCTTATTATTATTATTATTATTATTATTATTATTAGTAGTAGTAGTAGTAGTAGTAGTAGTAGTAGTGGGAGTATTAATCTCATTATCATAATTGTTGTAATTATAATTATTCCCGTCATTACTGTTATTCATATCATCATTATAATCATCAAACATTATTATTATAGAGTCTTTTTCTTTGTACAGAAATCATAAATTCAATTATGTGTAAGGAACTTACAAGTATTTCGTTAAAAAAAAATTTACATATTACTATTTGTTTAACTCTTATTTATTTGATAAATCATTATATATACAAAGCAAAGTATATATGTCACAGTGTGTTATTGAATATACAACAGTGTGATTTTATATCTTTGAACTTTTCGTAAGATTAGAAATGTTATACACGACGTAGCGTATTTCGTTAAAAAGAGAAGACTGTACGAATATATAATCTATAAACATATATATATATATATATATATATATATATATATATATATATATATATATATATATATTTATACATCCACCAGATGCATTACAACAATAATTGAAAAAAGAGCTTCGGTAATAAATATTCAATTTACTCTAAGCTGCACCATATCGATCATCTTAAGTCTAATAATTCTTGGTAATACTATAAATATTTTGCCCGACATTACAATGTCTCTCATCAAACAAAAAGGAGAAATCTTTTCAAACGATAATAACTGCAAGTGTAAGAAAGTTATATCTCATAAGATTTATCTATAAAAGTGCGTCTCTTCGACTAAATAAGAAAATATATATTAACTGGTGAACATAGTCTATATATACATTTGTATATTTCAATTTGATAATATGACTATAAATCAAGAATTATAAGAACTTTGTATTAAAAAAAAAAGATCATTTTCTAAGATGTTTGACCGTTTAAAGATATAAGAAAAAGCTTATTGTGCAGAGCATTTGCTACAATAATAATTGTGACTCGTATAATATAGAAAACTTCTCCCACAGGAGAAACAAAATTTCCCAAGATTTATATTATACTATATATATATATATATATATATATATATATATATATATAGTCGTTCATCGTTTTATGATAATTGCTAACTCTAAATGTAATATAGAAAAAATATATGAATTTTGTAACTCTTAATCGAATTGATCAAAACTACCTTTTTCAACTTTAATCTATTTTTGTAAGTAACATGCACGAATCTCATATTCAAGATTGATATAGATATATAATTAATTTCTTTTGTGTAATTAATATAATAAAATACTTCATGAAAAATCATTTCATCGGCATTTAATTGTACAAATAAATAAATAAAAACATATAGTATTTAAATTAAATATATTAAAGGAAACAACAGTAAATTATAAAATTTACAATACATTGGCATTTTGCAATCTAAATTTATAAAACAAAAATAAAACAAAGAAAAAAACAAAAAAAACAATACAACTTATTTTAAGTTTAAGATGAATTAATTTGGAAAAATTGTTTAGCCAAATAATTAAAGTATTGAACAGTTTTATTGTAGTAAAATCACATACAAAACAGTAAACAATGAAAATGTCTAATAATATTCAATATAAAATCAGTATAATAAGAAAAAAATGTTATTATTTGAGATAATTTTTGGAAAAGGTAATTAAAAAATACCCAAAGTAAGAATATCAAAAAATGACTAAGGCTTAAACTGATGTAGCAGTGCAGAATTAATTGTACAATTAGTATTGTACATTTAGCATTCGTGTCGTTACAATTATATCCAAAAAATGTTAATAAAAATAGCATTGTAATAAGAAAGGCTTGGAACTGATACTCCTATAATATTTCAATTCCCATCGACGTTACATAACACTCTAAGTTAAAAATTATGCGTATAATTCATGCAAGTACACATATCACATAAATCAGGTCGGGTGCACGAGTAGCCGTAAAGAAGTAAAGTAAAGGAATCCTTATATTTTCATTTTCACATTCACCGCATGCATCGCGAGTAAGCCAGCGTATAATGTTGCAGAGGGAAGAAATGGCGAGGGCGAGAAAGAGGAAAGAAGAGAACGACAGAAAGTCAGCGAACCGCGTACCTGAGTCGGGGCTGGCTCACCTTACATGCCGAACGAGCGCTCGAAAGTCTGGCCGTGACGCGTGTCGCGGTGAACATTGTGAGGAAGTACAGCCGCCGACAATATACGGAAAAAAGGACGAGCTGAGCATGCGGTTTTGCAGCTTAAACGTGTATGTGTGCGCGAGCGTATTGATGGATCGCTGCGTCGGTTTATGTACTTTATATATGTGGCGGACTGCTTTTATTGTACATAGATATATATATATATATATATATACGTATCGTTGTGTATCGATTGTGTACCCCGTCGCAAGGATAAATAAGATGAAGTTGCATACTGTACCATTCATCGATTTATTGTATTAGACCAATAATATATATATATATATATATATATATATATATATATATATGCTGTAAAATTTAAGTCTTTCGGAAATGTCGAAATATTTCTAGATGCTCCTTAATCTATAGTTCGTCATGCTCATTTATTCTCCATCTTTTATTTCCATCCAATACTTATCAATAGTTTTCGCTTCGTGCATATATTAATAAAAATTGTATCTATCAATTTAATTCTTAATTACTGCCTTTTGATTTTATCATTTACTATTACCTTTTTCAACCTATTCAAAATTTTATAATCATCCATATAATGCTATTTCATAATCACTCCTTTAACTTAAGTTTTATTATAAATATTCTTTGATCGTTACGTTTTTTCGCTACTTTTTTTTTTTTTTTTTTTATAAAAGTAGTTTAGGAACTATGGAAATGAAATTAAATCTTATTTATGATAAATAATTGGATCCTACTGTAAGTATTCGCATTTAAACTTTCAACTTCTTTTATTCAAATTTTTTTTTCCACATGTTTTAAATAATAATTTTAATTATATTTTCAAACAGAGATTAATTGTATTATTAAATGATATTATAGCAATTAAAAAAAATTATGGATTTGTTTTTATATTATATTATAAATAGCAAAAATTTTTGTTATTTGGCAAGAATTTTAAGATACAAAATCAATATGAATATCTTATGTTAGTTAATAACAAAAAATTTATAACAATAATATAATACGAATAAATGAAATTCAAATTATATTTATCAAAAGAAAAGAAAATAGTGCCAGCATCGGCAAAATAAATATTTTTAAAGAATAACAACTAAAATTCGACATCACATGACAATCTCATTAACGAAAGCTCTAATTTAAAAGTAGAGAAACTTTCTTAGGAGGATCTGATCCTGTGAACGACTTCGCTACACTAAGCTGGGAAACATCACCCCTGGCTATAAAGAGAAAGAAGAAGAACTGCGAAAGAAAATAGTCGAAAAACTAACCTTTCTTTTCATTTCAATTACAGCTCAGATAGCTGTTATCCATTCACTTTACAATGAAGTTTTTTAAAAATACTGCAATATAATTGCATTGTATTTATATGATGAGAAATGAAATTAGATACCAGCATAAGCTTACTTTTGAATTCTCAGGTGATCTGTACTCGATATTTTTCTGACATCCATTGTAAAGGAAATAAATTATTTGACTATACGAAATAAATAGGCAGACGTATTATATTTTACGAATATGAATTGTAAGCAAAAGATACGATTTTACAAGTACAATGTTGCGAGTATAAATTATTATTTGTCAATTGTGCACGTATGATAACATTAAAGAGCAGAATAGGGTTTTTATATTTTTCTGATAATCAGTATCTATCAAGTAGAAATTATTTATTTCCATTAATTGGAAATGCAGAATATAATAATGTCATATTACAAAGAATCTATTTTTAGAAATCTTAGATATTAATTACTTTAAGACTATCAATTTAAAATGAATTTTAATCTATAGTGTTTGTTAAATATGCATTTATAAATACATGTAATATACGTGTAATAATATTAAGTAATTTTCAATGATTGTCGCATTTTTAAAGTAATATTAAATGAAAAATGGTTAATCGTGATATTAATTGCATTGAAGCTTAAATTATATTACTTAAGTAGATATATTTTTCTTTAATTGTATAGTCTATTGACATAATTGTTTTGAATTATGAACAAACAGAAACTACAACAAAATAGTTACACGTAGCAATTAACTTATGCTTAAAATGTATTTATTTTACAGAATCGAGACGACTTCAAATTATTATAATTTCTTGCCTTGTCATCCCTATTGACATGATTTAATTGAATTGACACATTTTATTTTAATTTAAAAAAATTCTACGTATAAGTTATAGACTGTAGTATTTACATTTAAATATAGCATACACACATCATAATAAAAGACTTTTAGGCTTTATAATTAGGCTTTTTGTAATTAATATTTGAATAATCATATTTAACTATTATATTTTAAGAATGTAATTTTTTTTTTTTTTTTTTTTTTTTTTTTTTTAATACGACTCATCGACTACGATAAAGTAATGAAAGAATTTATTTTTCCTATGCTTTAAATTTATTTCATAAAAAATAAAATAAAATCTTAGTTAAAACGAGATTATAAAAATGTGTCCTGTATTGATCATTTACTCGATGCTGTTATTATATTAAGTGAAATTATTAAATTAATGTTATTCTGTTACTAGCATATTATAAATATTCGTTATATATAAAATCTATCCGATTATAATATTAACGTTTCAATTATAAAAGCAGAGAATGTGAAAATATGGCCTATTTGTATTATTACATCTTTATGTGTGGTAGTATGAAATCCAAGTAGTTGTATACGTCCGTGTAAATATCGGGAAGTCCTCTGGCACATGGAAGATTAAACGAAGAAATGCCAACAACCTCCCTATTAATGATCAATGGACCGCCGCTGTCTCCCTATAAAAATTTTTTTTCAAATCATCAGCATTTAATTAACATAATTAGAGACTTTCGTTTGTTTGCAATTCATATTAAGCTCTGACTTACAATACAAGATCCGATTCCAATGCTTTGGAATGCGCACAATTGTTCCGGTTTGATTATAAAGTCAACCATTTTTGAGCATTTATCTTGATCTACGATTGACATTTTCGCCTTTTGCAATTGTTCCGAAGTTTCATCTGACGGATAGTCTTTTGAACCCCAACCGCTAATGTAACCTTTTTCATTGGCAAGAGAGTTTCGCGTAGGTAACTTGGCTTTGTTCTGGAACTCGTTGAATTCAATGGGTCGCCAGACCTAAAAAATAAAATTATACATAATAATTTTTTAATTTATTCGGATATTAATGAAGAGGGTAAAATGATAAAACTGTTTGATTTGCTTTAAAATGACTTTGACTTCAAATTCCCAAACATTTTCAATTATTATGCAAATTCTTCGTCAAATTTATTCATTTAAACATTTAACGATAGTTGTGAAAATACTTGTACTTTAAATTGAATATTATACTTTTCATATATATTATTCATATTTTCTTCTATATAGGAAAATTTTTAATTTACATTTACTATGTTGTTGACATATCGTTGTTGAAGAACAATGTTAATACTTAGTTCTTCTTTCGTGTGAAAATTTTTTATTTTTTTTTTTTTTTTTTTTTTTGTTTTTTTTTTTTTTTTTTTTTTTTTTTTTTTTTTTTTTTTTTTTTTGAAGAAAAGCCGATGTAGGTATGATTCGATTATTTCATTAAATTTATTAATAATGAATAAACTTGAGTAGATATATGAACATTCATAGGAAGTAATAAGAATATAGTAAAAAATTATAGTAGTTAAATTACAGATTATTAAACGATAACGTAAGAACGTTTAAAAGTAGAATATTTGTAATTTCGATAGAATTGAAAAAAAAATAGTATTGTTTAATATTAAAGTAAGTAATTATCAAATAAAAAAATCAAATTTCTAAGAATAACATATATTACATAATTTATATTTTGTGCAAGTGTCAAACTAAATTAAAATACTAAGCTAATATTTTATTATCATTTATGATTATTTGATTAATAAATTAATGTTTTTTTTAATAAATATTCAACTCAAATAACAAAGTTAAAAGATAATTAGAAGAAAGAGCGATTTCAATTAAATAACAATTCTTATATAAATAGTCTGAATATATAAGATTTCTTTACTAAATATTTCATATAAAAAATTTTGTCTTAAAATTAATGAATTTAAAGTATTTTATATACTCTTATAAATTTTTATGACCTAGATGAATACATTTAAATAATATTACATATTATTTATAATAATTTTTAAATAAATATATCAAACAGATAATTAGTAAGTTTAAAATACATTAATATAATACTTATAATAATCTATGACTATAATTTTCTAAAATTATATATATATATATACATATGAGAGTATATTTGAAACAAAGTTTGTAATTGTTAACAAAAGATAATACAATAACTAATCTTCGAATAATATGGGTTTTTGTATTGAAAAATTTTAAATTACTTGCCATCGAAAACAATTGAATTAATCCATGAAATTAATCTCATTTTTATCTTTCTCAAGTTCGTCAAATAAAAATTAATGAAACATTATATTCATTTTTTAGAGATCATAAATTAAAAATTTCTTTGGCAGCAATTGCATGACATAAATGTAATAATTAAGAAATTTTTTAAGTATTATTATCATAGAAAAATTTCATTAAACTAAATACATCGATGAATCAATGGTTGATTTTTAAGAAATTAAATATTAATTATAAACAACTTAAACATAAACTTAACAATAAATGGAATAATTCTCTTTTTGTATAATGCGAAATTTTACTTTGTTTATTGACATTGTTTAAATTGACTCTATTTCAAATTTAACTAATAAAATATATTAGAAATCAACGTTAATGATAATTTATTGTTGTTGTGCTATTCGTTATGAGTATGAGCTTTTTAAAAAGCAACATCATATCCATATCTCAATGCAAGTTACTCTATACGAGTACATATAATGTTGTATTGCGATTTTAACAAATTTATGTAAGCAAAAATGTTCAACCTACAGTTATTATAGCAATGTCGTGGGCATGGCTGCCAGTCGGAGTTATTTTTCCATTGTACTTTGGGTGAAGATCGACGTAAGCAATCTTATATGACGGTCCGGATATATCAGAGGAATTGCTGGTTCCGGTATAGACTCTAAACATGTCAAGTTTATCTGTTTCACTTAAAAAGCAATGAGCTGCTGTAAGTAAGTGCCAGTTCGTAATTATGGTAGCCCCACAAAAATGCTCATTGGTGCTCACTTTCCTCAATGATGCAATATAAGGAAATTCCCTTATGTCTGCATCTGTGCCGCCAACGATTCGACTTCTTCTACCCAAAGTCACTGAAACGATATTCATTATGTATATAATTATTAATATAACGTATTAGAATGCAGATTCATGGTATGCTAATATTGTAATTTAAATTTATATTACATAAAATTGTAGTCAATGATACTCGTCGATATTCAAATACATTATTTTTGCAAGCGCATTAATTTTTAATAAGGATTAACAAATTAAGCCAATAAAATATTTATTATGTATATAAATATATATATTTAATTAAGAAAAAAATTTTGGTAACTAATTATTTATATAAAGCCTAAATTTTTTTTTTACAAAATATCAGTAGTGAATTTTAATATTATTAACTTTATTTACCGTTATGCTATTTCTATTTAATATCATCCAGTAATATACTTTAACATCTTTACATTAAAAACTATATTATCATATATTACAATTTTATTCAATTAGATATTAATAGATATTAAATTAAATTAAATTAAATTAGATATTAATAGATATTGAATTAGTAAAATTAAATATTTATTTATATGTTCAAAAAGAGTATTTTTTATTAAATAAAATATATTGAATGTTTTAGAAAAATTAATTATTATTTTATAGTAGTAATTGTATAATGTTTCATTAAATCAAACATATTGTGCTAGTAAGTTTTAATTAGTAATGATAAAAATTAATTAATAAAATATGATGATATTTCATTAGTTTGACCTTATCAAAATCATTACATATAAAAAAATTAATTACCCTTCATTTAGCAATAGAATCTAAACAAATATTATATATAAATAAATTTTATTATATTTAATGTTTATTATTGAAGATGTATTAATTTGTAATTAATGCTATTGCAATTACTAGATGAATATCTTACATAGTTGAGAACAATTTATTAGTAAAAATTTACTGCTTTTGTGAGTAAACAATATATCCTGATGTATTATTATAATATTAATAATACGAATGAATATATATGATTAGAAGATCGCTAGTACGTTAATACAAGAAATGGCATTCATCTGAGATTTTTGTTCAAATAAAAGAACGTATTAATAGCGTAAAAAAACTTTCAATATCCAAATGAAACAAATTTTACTGAAAAATACTGCAAACAAATTTTAAATTCCGATAAAGATTATTTAATATATGATACTATAAATAAAAAGAAGTTTATGACCGCACACACACACACACATATATATATATATATATATATATAAACGAACGGCGTAACACGCCATAGAACTAAACATATATGAAATATACATAATAATTGTACAAACAGTTAGTAAAATTGTAAGATTTCACACCTATTTGAAAATTGGTAGGATATGAATCTAAAATATATAAATGTTGATTTGTTATTAAAACAATGTATGGTAAGAAAAAATGGTAACACAAATAAAGGATGTGTACATAAATTTTGTATGTAGACTATTGTTGATATATTAAAACATGTATTTGCTCAAGATAGAATATATTGTCTTAAAAATTACGATGATTATAAAAAAATAATTTACGAGTAGCTGATATTGAAAATGAATTTTTACAACATAAAATTATTGTATTAATGTACATACATTTCTGTTTAAAAAATAGTTTAGTCATTATATTTTATATTATATTATTAAATAGGCCGTATGTGCAATAAATTATTTTAATAATAAAATAATATTTAACAATACTATTTTAAATTATGAAATACCAAAATACATAATTATTAAACAAAAACTTCACTCTCATTTACATATACATAATTATTCTTTTTTATTCTAGTGATTTTGATTATATTAATAAATTACTGTAATCATATTTGTTGTATAAATAAATTTAAAAATAAAACTTATTACAATTTTTTATTAACGTTAAAATAAAAACTTAACTTACCAGTGCTTAAAATTAGGCACAAACAAATAATGATTCGAATAGTCATTTTACTGTTTGAGTGAAACAAGAATTTAAATTACTTCTTTATATACATAGCTTGATTCATTGAAAGATAACATGCAATTAATTTACAATGTATTTAAAGTACTTGACTGTATATATTTCTAAAATTTATCTTGCAGATAAAAATTTTGTATTTAATGTACAATATTACTGAATATTGACATTACAAAAAATGATTTTAAATATATCTGCTTATAAATGCATATACGTACAACTTTCTTAATGTTATGTAATATATATATATATATATATAATATATATAATATATATATTGTTAATATAACCATATATAGTTTATAGAGAATTGATACAAGTTAATATAGTATCAATTAATTTGTCTATTTTTATTTGTTAATTTTCTTTAAATCTAATTTACTCATAAAAGTTTTGTCAATAATATTTTATTGTCTATACATTTCGGTGATGTAAATTTACAATTTTCTAATTTTATAAAAAACCTGCAATCCTATAAAATAATAAGTGTTTTTATGTAACTAATTAAATTGAAATTTTTTAAATTTGATTTAGAATACCTAACATACATTTTTGTAATGTCTTCGTACTCTTATTGTATTATTCTTTAAGAAAATTTTATAATATATAATGTGATAAAGTCTAGTGTTACAAAGCTCATATTGTTTTTCCAATTGATTTTATACGCACAATAAAATTAGTAAAATTTCGAAATTTTTTTTAAATTTCTAGCAATCTGTCAATTATAATGAATGTTACACAAAATTTCTGTAATGATATCTTTTAAACTCTTATTCTATGTATCTTAATAAGTGTTAATGTAGTACTTGTTTATATATTTAAAGAGATTCATTTTTTTTTTCTTTAATTTAATTGCATTAAACTATTGTTTAATTATTACCTATAATGAAAATAATTAAAATATGATTTTAGAGTTTAGAAACTTAATAACAATTAATTTTGATATTTTCAATTTTATTTTTAAACTAGGAACTGATTAGATAATTCTTTGAAATTTATTGATACGTGAATTTCTATAGATCATTGAAATTCATAATATAACTGAATTTAAATAAAATTAATATTCAAAGAACAATGGCTTCATAATATTTATTGCATTATTTGCAAATATTGATGTATTCGCATGAATATGTATAAAATTTGTATGTACATAATGTTATGAGAATATTTAAAACACTATATATATTCTAAGTAAAATACTTATTAGCATTGCTAATTTACTGATAAATATAATTATCATATAATTTAATGAGAATTAATATTATATCTAAATACTTCATCAATTCCAGTTTCAAAAGATAAATATAATATACACTCAAAACGTTAGTACGGATACTACTTGATATATTAACTTATAAATTACGAATATTTGATATCAATATATTTATAATATCCTTTTTTTTCCACATCCTAGCGTATTAATCGTCAACTTCAATACATTACTTATTAGCATATATTATTGAAAATATAGTATGAAAAAATCCAAGTTTAATAAAAAAAAAAAAAAAAAAACGAGACCGAGACGGCTATCGATAATGCAAAAAGGACCTCTTCTAGAAAGGACAGCGATTGTAAAATATCCAGTTGTGACATAAAGTGAATTGAGTGGCCAAACTGAGCAAAATGTTTGAAAAGAAAAAAATAACGATTTAAGAGATGATAAATAACCGTTTCTCTACAATTCTTCTAATGATATTTTTGAATAGTAATAATTTTGATATTACTGTGAACCCAAGATAAGTCGATGAATTGTTATAAAAATTATTTTGCTTTAATAATACGTTTAAATATAATATTCATCTGTCGATTACGAAGATTACGATTACGATTTTCATAATCGTTTAGCTATAATTTAATTGCAATTATTATCGACTAAATACAATCAAATGGATTCTGTAATTACTAATTAATAAAGTTTTCGATATCTAAAACAATGAATTTTTTATATGTTTTAAATTTTACTTTTCTTAATTCTTAACATTATATTTATATAATTTCTGAGAAATTTGAGTAGCCTTATTTTCATTAAAATTACTTACATTAAATGATTAGTTAATATAAGCAATACTTCTAGAAGTATAAAAATTTATTGAAAATAATAAAATTGAGTCTCCATATATATCTTAAATTATTGTTTTTAATTTGAATTTAATTATTTGAAAATATCGAACATAAAATAAAAAATGATATAAATGATTATAGATTTAGTTTATCAATGATAAATCTGTTACAAATTTACAATATTTAAAAGAATATCGATTCATCAAAATATCTCTTCTATAAATCATGTTTTATAATTACAACTAACAAACAATTAATGATTTCGAATCAATAAATTTAATAAATTAATTTAATAAACTTGTAATGACAAGTTTTAAACTTTACCTAAATTTAATTATTTTATCGCTACTTTGACTCTGATGAAGCAAAACCGTAAATTTCGGTAATTCAATTGACGTAAATCATTCTAATAATTAGCTCTATGTAATTAAAAATTATATCATAACCATAAACTGAAATTATTTTATTTAATTTGATCAATTCTGAGGTATAGTGTCCATAATTTTCATTGTCAAATTCTAAGATTAGTAAATAAAAGTTCGTTCAAGCATACGAATGCTTGAAATCCTTATACTTTCAATGATTAAATGAATTAGTAAATAAATAAGATAAATTCATTATAGCAGAATTGGTAATTGAAGTTTTTAATGAATTCTATTATTTTAATTCCAATTGCAATTGAACAAATTATTTAAATAAAGTTTTTATTCCGATCCTATAATGCTACTCAGTTTAGTGAAACATAAAATTCAACGCTAACAATTATTATTAAATTAGGCTTATAAAATTAATAGGAAAATTTAAATACGATATTGAATCCAAAAAGGTTCAATTCAATAAGATGATTAAAAGTGAATAAATATAATGAATTAAAAATAAATAAAATAATAATAAAATAAATAAATTATATTAGCAAATGAGTTTTAAATTGAATATTATAATAATTTATATACAAATTTTAGATATTCTAAATTTCACGCTAATTTCAAAAATTATTTTAAAAATGCTCTACAAACTTCATTATAATATTCAAAATTTTATCAATACATATGTCTATCAATTATTATCTTTTTAAATAGTATTTTCATAGTTTGCATTTATATGAACTTATAGTTAGAATTTATAAAACTTTCAAAATAGTAATAATATACATCAAAGTATAAAGATTGAAATTTATTTAGGAAATAATTTAAAATCTATTTTGAAGCAAAATTTAAATATTTATAAAAAATTCTTTTTTATTATATATATTTTATAAGGATAATATAGATTCAAATATTTTTACAAATTTTGTTTATATAATTATATATATATATATATTTATTTTTTTATTTTGTTAATTTTTTATTTTTTTTTTTTTTTTAAGATGATTTTATTATTTCTATATCTTTGCAAGTATTTCTGTGTTAAAAAATATTAGAAGATAACGAAATCTGTCATTATAAAAATATATTTTTATGTTAACATTTTAAGCTATTTATGTTGGTATAGTAGAGTATTTAATTAAAAATTATTGTAATTTATTAAAAATTACAATATTAGTTTTTGGTTACTTGTTAATAATTCTTAGTACATAAAAAAAAATTTGATTGAAATTATTATATTTATTTGCTATTATTTGTAACGTAATATATTATTAAATTTCAGAAAGTATTAACAATAATTTAATGTAATGCATGGAATAATACTCTTTATTATTTATTTTATGTTATACGAAATTGTGATGTTATTGAAAATGTGTGTACTTTTACATTTTTCTTTACATATTATCTATTATTTTACATTTTTCATTAACCTGATTCCATTTCATATCATAATATTTATTCAAATGTAGCAACTGCTTTTGTAAAATATTTCGAATAAATATACATAAAGTATCAACGTAATTTTAACAGGTAGCGATGTATAATTATTGAGAAAAAATCTTCAAAAGCACAGTCATAATATAAACATAAAAGATATATTTCTTCAATTCATATATACTTATTTTGCAATATTTCCTTGTAATAAATAATAAATATTTATATATGTAATTATTTAAACGTCATAGAGTAACATACAAAATTAAAGGCCAAATACTTTAATCTTTTTTAATTTCATAATGTTCCATTTTGTTTTCAATTAATTTCTATGAAAATCAATGTATTAATTTTAATAATCAGTACCCTTGATAATTAATTCAACTATTTTATTAATGAATGATAATGGCTAATAAAAGAATAAGAGAAATATTAAAATAGAATAAATAATGAGAATAAAAACAATAAAAGAATAATATTGAAAAAAAATTCAAGAATTAAATATAAAATTAATAGTTGCTTAATATTTAATATCGTACGAATTACAAATCAGAATAATAATTTTACTTCAAACTTTACTTTCAGGTACATATTTAACACATACTTTCGCGACAAATTGCTTATAACGAAGTATAAACAAAATTTTAAAATATTCATTGGAAATTGTATTGCAGTAAAAAATTATATTATTTGTGTTACAGTATTTTCATATTATACAAGTGGATATATATGTCTTGTGTATAAATTATTTAAGTGGAATGAGATTATGAAATTATATGTAAATTTGTAAATTATGTAAAATTAAAAGATTTCGAAAGGTCAAATTCAATTCGTTTCTTTCTATAAATGAATGAAAATACTAGATTAAATTATGATGATTATATATAAAAGTAAATTAATTGTAATATCATTGTTAACTATCAATAATTATGCAATAATTCATTTCTGTTTAATCTATAGGTTTTTAATGATATTTATTACAATTGTTTTTGTATTATGATATGCATAATTCCAACTATTTATATAGATTATATTGTATTTTCTTACTGATTACATTTATTGACAGTCTATTGTACATAAAACTATATTTGAACAACATTTTTAATGAAGAATATGAATAAATACATTCACATTTTCACTTTAAAAAAAAAAAAAAAAAAAAAAATCCTGAAATATAATGGAAAATCATAATCTTAGATAAATTCAGACAAATGACATTAATAATAGTAATAATAATTAATTACTTCAATATGACAGATTTTTAAATAAATTCATAAATTTTTCGAACAATATGAGCTTAGTATTATATTTTATAAAAAATTATAATTACTAAATCAGTTGATTATTTTTTTTTTTTATGACATATCATATACGATTAAATAACAATAAATATACATATTTATAGATATGTTTGTTTTTTTTCGTCTATTAATTATCTAGCTTACTATTCCTTTCTATCTCTCTTTCACATTCTCATTGTCTCCTATCACTGGCTCTCATTTTGAAATACTCATACTTCACATTATTGCTTACACATTGCTGCTGGAAGATAATTGATGACAGTCTAACACTTTCTTTAACTAATGTAATTATGAATTATTTTATCAACGATATATGTTCGGTTTTGGTAGTGTTTTCATTGTTTTACAAAAATTCCTAAGATGCCTAAGTTCCTCGGTAATATTCTTGGAAGAATAATATTAAAAATAAACTCATAAGTAGCGGATTAATACTGTAAGTAAGTATATCTTAGATTTTCTTATGACTTGGAAAAGATAGTATTACTGACGAATGATATTCCGAAATAGTATTTACAATTATGATATAAAAAAGTTTTACTTGAGTACTTTTGCAAAATTATTTATCTAATTATGCGTAAACGCATCGGCTTAACAATTTAACTTATAATTTATTTTTATTCGTCACCTTCACTTTTGCTACGTGAAAATATTATCTTTCTATAGATATTACAATTAGTAATATTACGATATCGAAGCAAAGCGCTTCGGTCTTTATTATATAATTTTTCTATATATCAATTAATTAAATTTTTTGCTAATGTCATACGAATCTACACAAAATATGTGAAAAATATAATTATCGAAATCAGTTGATTAATTACTTCGCCATTCATATTTAGTAAGCAAATGTGTTATCTTACATATTTACATTAAATTTCTTTATATTTGAAAATAAGTATGAGCTTTAGTTTAAAGGAGCAAAAATGGAATTTTATACAGACACAGGAGATAAAGTAAATAAGAAGGAGTGGGAAGAGAGAGAGAGAGAGAGAGAGAGAGAGAGAGAGAGAGAGAGAGGGAGAGAGTGGGAGAGCGAAGGATAATGGTTAGATAATTGCGCGAGATCAAACGAAATGTATTATAAAATTTATATGACAATTTGAAAATCAAATATTAAAAGTTAATTATAATAAATTTATTAATAAATATATGTAAACAAATAATGTTATATATCAAATGTTCGTTATGGATTTAATAAAATCAAGATAATAATAAATATCAGTGTATACATCAGGTAAGCCTACTGCGCATGGAACACAGAATGAAATAATTCCAATAATTATGCCATTACTAGTTAAGGGGCCACCACTATCATACTAAAAAATTGAGAGAAAAAAAAATGTAATTTAAAATAATTTTTTATTGTTATTTTGTTTCTAACTAAAATATTAAAAATTCAAACATAAAATAAAATTGATTTAATATTAAATACAATTTATTATTAAAAAGTAATATTGTTTCTTAGATTGAGAATTATTATATATATATATATATCGGCTAGTCATTTATAACGATATATGTGAAATGTGAAATATTTGTATAATTTTTAAAATATATGTATAATGTGAAATATTTTAATCCCTTTATTAACGTGATTTTATGTTCAATTCGATGAATGTTCAATGATATAAATACTTACGGTACATATTCCAACACCGGGTTGCAAAAACGCACAAAACTGCCCTTTATATAATTTAATTGGATTTTTCTGCATACATTCAATATTACTCATAATCCTCATAGGAGCTTTTTGTAATATGCTAAAGATTGTATTTGATGTTGGAGATGTTAAGCTCCAGCCGCTAGCTTCAGCAATTTCGCCAATACGAATCTTTCGCGTTGGAAGTTTGGCCATCTTTTGTATTTCGGAAAATTCAATGACCCCCACAACCTGCAACAATAATTTCCATTGTCAGGATATAATATGCATATCGAGAAAGTCTACGATTATAAAATAAAATCACGACAATTTAATAATTAAGAGTATTCTGCCTTTGATTGTTATTCGTAATATTTTTCAACCCTACATTGCCTAATTCAATCGAATTATTTTATATCAAATTTTATTCTTTCAGAAAATAATTTACGCAATTTCATAAATGATAAAAATTAACACAATAATCATAATATATATGTATGGTTTTTTATTATTACAGAACTTTATCGTCGAATATCAATATTAATTTCATAAGAATAATAATTTGGCATTTAATTAATGCCTTATATATCCCAAGTAGCGAGGATAAGTAAAGTATTAACGCGCCTCTTCTGAATATGAAATTATATAATTGAACATCACAAGATTTATGGAAAATGACAAAAGTTATCGGATAATGATATTAGGTTTATAAAGGTATTATAAAAGTCGACGAGAATAAAGCGAATGACGATTATAGGTAAAATTTTTACTATATCAGTGAAGAAATGTAACGATGATGAGTGAAGGATAGTTGAAAAAAAAAAACAAAAAAAACAAAAAAAACAAAAAAAAAACAAAAACAAAAACAAAAAAAAAACAAAAAAAAAAACAAAAAAACAAAAAAAACCTGTAAAACTAGTGCAGATATTCCAATTTTACAATAAAAATATGCTAAAATATCTTTTCATTTGCGAAATATAATTGCGCATAAGCATTATATTGTTTCTCAGCTTCTCCGATAAATAATCATCACTACTTATCCACAATACTCTAATATATTCTAATGGAGTAAAACTACGTAAGCATAAAATGTTTCTTAAGTTTCTTAAGTTCAGGTAACCTCTATAATAGCGATATCGTGTCTAAACATCGACGAAGTTATCAACTCTCCAGTAAAATGAGGATGAATAAAGACGTTTTGAATCCTGTAGGAGGATCCCGTAGTATTCTTTCTGTTTGTACATCCCGTGTAAATTCTTGTATCGCTATAGTAAGCTTCCAAACGGTAAAGACAATGAGCCGCTGTGAGGATGTGCTTATTAGTAATTATGGAGCCACTACAGTAATGCTTATTATTACTAAATAATCTCAGTGAAACTTGATGTGGAAATTCCATTATATTAGCATCTGTGCCACCGATAACTCGCATTTGTCTTTTAAAAGCCACTGCAAAACCTTCAATGAAAATTATGGTAATCAATGTTTATTCTTCAATGAAGGGATTAAGAAAAAGGTATAGAAAATTAATGAGCTGTAGGGTAAATAAGGAAAATTATTACATAATTATCTAAATAAATAAATAAATAAATAAATAAATAATATATATATATATATATATATATATATATATATATACATACATAGGAAGAGAGAGAATTACTGATATAGAATAATGATACACCCACACATACAAACACACACTCGCATACGGATATATTAAGATAAATTGTAATTCGTAAATTATATACAATCAATCGTTCCAACATCGTTTAACTTCTAAAAATGTAAACTTTCAAACTCGTTTCTAATACTAATCTCATCCACGATAGATTAAATAGATGTTAAATTTCCGTTTTTTCATTCGCTTTGTATAATATAAAATTGCCAATTGTATAATCTGTATGTAAAATAAAACATATTATACACATTTTTAAATTATAGTAGGAAAATTAAAGCAACAAGAAAATTATTTTTTTAATTTTAATTATGTACATTTTAAATTAATTATTTGTTTCGCGTTATTAAAGATTTTTCAATCTATATTTAATCATTTATAAAAAATTAAAAAAAAAAAAAAAAAAAAAAACATCAATTGTAATAATAATAAGTCTTATGCGAATTATAGCTTCAACAGTTTTATTTCACTGTCATTCGTTTCAAAGATATTTTTTCATTAAACAATTTTCATCAAACGATTTAGAACAAAATATAATATTTGCTTTAAAGCTAAACTATAATTATGAGTAAATAATCTTCAATTTACAATACGGACTCATGCAAATACAAAATATTTTTAATTAAAATGACTTATCTTTTGTTCAATCATCTAAATAGCTCTGGCCGTATAACTATGATAGTAATCATCATATAGAATTCCGATGAAAATACTAAATAAACATTAAATGTACTAACAATTTTTCATATTCTATAATTTACGTATAATGTAAGTTTAAACGACATTATCGACAATATTTTTCTGCTTAATGCATTATACGAAGAACCAAATTTAGTTTATCGAAAGATCGTAGTATAAAATATAAAAATTTTAAAGCTGTTGGTAATGATATTAACGCATTAAGAAAGTTGACTAAGCTAAATAGACTTTAAATTCATCAAACTATTTTAAAAAAAAAAAAAAAAAAAAAAAAAAAAAAAAATAATAATAAGAATAATAATTTTAAATTCCTCTTGAAAAACACGTGTTTTTAAAATAATAGAACAGATTCAATTGTAATAAATTGTACGTATTTATGTATTTAGACAATAGATTTCTGATTCCTCACGGAATTCGCATATTTTATAAAATAATAATCAACTTATAAAAAATAACGCGGAACTGATATAATATGAAAAGTAAATATAACAATACTTACTTATAAATTTACAAGTAATTAACAAAATCTTATTATTTGAATCTTTTTATAAAAAATATAAAAAATTCTGATTAAAGGTAAATATTGTTTTTCAAGTTATTCAGCTTCGTATTTGAAAACTTAACTTACCGTCCAAACACGTATATTTACTTACAGAATATCATACGTTAAAAATATATTTAAAAAAAAAAAAAAAAAAAAAAAAAAAAAAAAAAATACATACGCAATGCATTACTATCTATTACTAGAAGTATAATTATAAAATAAAAAAAATTAATAAATAAAAAAAAATCGAAAAAACGTGTTTGTAAAATGTGGAAAATCAGTACCGACTCGACTCTCCTATCAACTAAATTTGAATATGTATAAATATCATTGAATAAATAAATATATATTTAAACAAGTTTAAATAAATAAAAGTTTAAGTGAATTTTTATCAATGAATATTAAGTTTAATAAGTTTATATAAATAAATATATATATATATATCTATATATATATATATATATATATTCAATTTTATGTGCGATTTTTTTCTTATTTTTTCTTTTTTTTTTTTTTTTTTTTGTTTTTACATACAATTGCAAAACGTATCTATATAGGAATAAATATTTGAAATTACTCATTGAGATAAAATAACAATATATAAATTGTAAATAATTTCATAATGCAGCTTTAATCGAGAATGAAACGACGAAGAAAAGTGTGTAAACAAACGATTATTAGACGAAAACTGACCTCGACTATTAATATCAATATCAAATATGCATAATAATCTAATGTAATTCAAAAATAACAAATAGAATATAAACATTATATTATCAATTGTTGTATATACACGTAATATTTAATTATAATAATATATGTTTAAAAATTGATTATATTGATTTGAGTAAAATAGGTGAAATTGTTAAGTTAAGAGTGAAACACTGGAGCAGTCATTTAGTTTAAATTATAAGTTTAAATGATATATTACCAATAAAAATTAATGCCAGATATGTACAAATTACACTAAACAATCTCATTTTTACTTTTACAATTGAAATATCCAAAATTAAACTATGCTTTTATACATATAAATTTGCTCGGTTTTAAGCTGCGCTAATGTCGTTTATCAAGTTACGATAAAATCAATATTTAAATATGTAATCATTTACTAAATAAACGCAATGAAACGGTATTATTAAATTTAATATATTCATATACACGATCTGACCCCTTTTTTTCTTCTTCTTCTCTTTTTCTTTTTATTGCATTCTTTTTAATACGTCAGATTAGCAATATGTTAATAGAAAAATAGAAAAATATTAATTTCGTTTGAATAGGAAAATTAATGGACAATTAGAATGAAAGTTTCAATATTTGTGAAAAGAATATATTTACATAAATGTAAGTAAGCTCGTTCGGATTATAATTTAGAATATAAAATCATTATTTAAATATTATGTAGAATATGTAAATTAAACTGCTTACAAATCAGTGTCATGTTTTTTTCAAGATTTTTTCTTTGTTTTTTGTTTTTTTTTTTGGTTTTCTTTGTTTGTTTTATATTTAATCTATGAATTTCATGCGATTATGTCGATTACATTGAATCTTATTTTTATGAAAAATTGTGTTTATTAATAAGTGATTTCATGACAAAATTCTCCTCGCCAGTATAGAATAATTTTCAATGCACACTGACGCTAATACGAGAGAAAAGTATCGTATGAAATAAGCTACCTAATCTAATAAATTATTAATAAATAAAAGTAAGATAAAAAACGAACACCGATGCCCAAAATATATATTTAAGAATTCAAGTTATTTAGTGACATTACTTTGAGAAGAAAAAAAACAGGAGTGATAAAACTCTCGTACGTGATATGTATAATTTATATGATAAATCCTATATAATGTTATACATTATGTTAAAGATTAATAATATATAATTAAAAATAAAATTACTCAAGTTGTTAATGTTGCGTATGCAAGTATAGTTCCATTTTTGCATTTTAATATGTAAATTGTCAACCGAAAAAAAACCGACTCTCCACAATTTGTGACCGTTCATCGTCAAAGTAGAATTCGCTAAAACCCAACTTTTCACGATAAACTAGAGTTCTGTATTATTCACGCGCGTGCGCGACCTGATGCATGCTTGCACACCTATATATATATATATATATATATATATATATATGTCGGTAAAATGTTGTATCATTATTTTTTTTTGTCTGTCGGTAAAGTAGCGATCTCCATTGGCTGTCGTTAAAGTAGAGATCAATGATAAAATTGATACTCATTTGTCATAAGGTAATTATCTGCTGTGGGTAATCATATTGATAATGCTTTATAAATACAATTTATCACTGGATAATTTAATGAATAAATAAAATATTATTCAGAAATGAATGGAATAAATGAATTTAAATATTAAAAATGTCCTTGCCTTATACAAAAACACAAAATATAGTTGATTCAACCACGTCAATTTATTATTTGCAATTAATCTTTATATATATATATATATATATATATATATATATATATATACAGTAAAATCGAATTTTTTAATACACTTATTAGTAATTTTATTTGTATTCGTTAAATTGTTATTAATAGCTATTTATACATGAGTATATACAAATGTTAATATACAAAATACTTGCGGTAATAATAGATTAAATCATAAAATTGGACAATAATTTTATTGCAGATCAAAGCATTCATTTAAATTATTTCATTTCAACACAAATATATTTATTTTCTTGATTGTTTGCTTAAGTTAGTGTCGACAGTTCTTATTCTTTTAGATTAGGATAATAAATTTTTTATATATTATATATTTGAAATAAATGAACAATAACAATTGATATAACAAATTATTTATTATACTTGGCTATATTTTTATATAGACTCACAAATATATAAGATAAATATGATTATATAATTATTTAATTATCTAAATTTTTAATAAACTATTTATAATGTAGTATTATATAAATTAATATGATAAATTATTAGATACAAAATAAATTATGATTTATTCGTTAGTAGCGTACATTGGAAATTAATTACATGGTGATACAATCGACAATTGTGTTAAAAATATATTTAATGTACAATTGCATGAACAAAATTGAAAAGTTGGAAAAGGAATAACGGCAAAAGTTTTTGAGATGTAACGTATTAGATCCGTAAAAGCTTTTTTATTTAATTTCCGTAAATATTTATTTGCATTTATGGATTCACTGTTTCCAGGTAGTGTGTTATCATTAATCGTTAACCAATTATTATAATTTGAAGGAATCTTGATTTATTATATTGTATTTACCGAATTCCTTAAATTATATGTATATACTTTTTTTTTTTTTTTTTTTTTTTTTTTTTTTTTTTTGAAACTATTTACATTACAATTCTCCAAACATGTCAGATATATAAATATGCGTGGATATGTAGTTTGTGTGCGGATGCGTACGTGCGTCCGTATGCGTTTATTATATATTTATACTATACATAGGCGATTATGGAATAATATGATTGTCGCAGAGGCTATAATATAAGTTAATCTTAATTAATAGTAATGTTAATAGAAGATAATATAAATTAATCTCGAAAAGTTTCTGTACTTGAAAGGTGAATTATGAATTAATTCGTTTCTTACATTATTTCATTTGCAATATAATAATTAATATCGTTTGGTCAAGCATATACACCTAATCCGAATAGTATATGATCATAAAAGACGATATTGAATATTATATTTTCTTAATTAATAAAAGCTAATGTTATTAACAACAAGATTCATAATAATCTTTACATTTTTACATAAAACATGTTTACGAAATTTGTTCTATTTATTTTCAACTCTCAAGTATAAAATTTTGTACAATTATCGTTTGTAGATATAAGCCAAGTAGGATATTGTTTGTAAAAAACAAGTGTAAAAATTATTTTTTCATTATAATATCGTTTATAAAATCTAAATAAGAATATATTTTGGTATATATGTCTGGATAGGCTTCATTGCATCCACAAGAAAATGATACGATACCGACGACCTCATCGTTAATTGTTAGTGGAGTGCCACTGTCACCCTGAAACGTATAAAATAGTAAGATAATTCATTGCATTTACGTCACTTGACACATAAACTATTAAACTTGATTTATATACATTCGTATGTATAATGTTATTAATAATTACATATTCAAATGTGATTAGTTTGCGCGCTCGGTAAACTCAAACTCAATATAATTCACGACAAAACAACAAAACCATCCATTATTAATTGAATTTTAAGTTATTATTTATTATTATTTATTATTATTATTTTTATTTTTTTTTCATAATTATAGTTCGTTACACAGGTGCTTAATAAAAACTCACCACATATGCGCCAGCATTTTCATTATGAAAGGCGCAGAATTGTTCATCTTGTAAAGTAAAGAACAAAAATTTCGCGCAAAACATATTATCAAATATTGCCATTTCTAGGAATTGTAATTCATTGGCGGCCTGGGTGGAATTAAAGTTTGTTGCTCCCCAACCAACAAGAATGCCAACTTTATCAGCAATAACGGGCGTACTGGGCAGTTTTATTTTTTGTTGAAATTCATTAAAATGAATCATTGCTGTTGTCTTGGGAATAAAAATTTTTGTTACAAGGCTTAATATATATGCGAAGAGAAATTTTTCATTAACGCAATCAAAATTTTCTCAAATCTTGAAAATTGGTTTAAGCAATTTAATTAAGAATTCATATTTAATTTAATATATATTTCAACAAAAATTACACGTCAAACGACGAAATATATAAATGTAATCGCTACTGAATACTCAAAATGTAAAAAGAAAATTAAAAAAAAAAAAAAAAAAAAAAAAAAAAAAAAAAAAATTCTATGGAACAAACAATTATATTAAAAATTATATATAAAATAATAATCAAGAAATATTTCAGGTTTTTAGTCTAATCCTTGAACAATATTTGTAAAGTATGTTAATATTGAGTTATATAAAAATATGTTCGTAACAGACGAAAATTCAAAATATTAATTTTTAAACTTAAGCTAACAACAGCAGGATTGAGATATTATTAATATTTGAAATGTATATTATGTGTAAAACAACCAAAACTATTTTTAACGAAATTTTATTATATGTATTTGCACTGTAAATTTTATTACGTTTTATTATAAAATTATTATTATTTTTTTTTTTTTTTTTTTTTTTTTTTTTTTTTTTTTTTTTTTTTTTTTTAATGTACATTTATACGAAACATCAATTATTTTTCACTTGTAAGATATTTTTATTATTTGGACATCAGACAATTATAGATTGTACATTCATTTTAATAAAATTATCATAACGTACATAAATATTTATCAACTGGTTCATTTATAAAATTAAAAATTAAAATAAAAATTATGGATAATTAGACAAAAAAAATATACTTATAAAAAGTATTTTGGAAAATAGATGAACAATTTAGCATCAATTTAGCATTTATTACAAATAAATATTATAGACAATTTTACAATCACTTTGTTTTAATGACACTTTGAGTAATCATTAAAGTGAACAAAAAAAAAAAATCTTTAAAGTAAAAATACATATTCAATATAATTTACTATTTAAAATTACTTTAATTTACAGAATATTAGTCTCTCATAGCCATAAAAAAGATTCTTTCAATTTAAAAAAAAAGTGCCAGTGCATTAGAAAATAACTGAATAAATGTCCAATATTTATAATGATATATTTTCATATTTTTGTGAATATAAAAAAGTTTTTTTGTTACAATATCGTGTTAAAAAAAAAAAAAATAAATAAAAACTGTATTTACAATTTTAGTATTATTTCGATGATTTAAAGTGTTAAGTAATTTGCCTGAAAATAAAAATACATTAAGCTGCATATCTTATCGATAGCAAAGTTGTATTAAAACAACAAATTCTGACTGCCGTGACAGATGGAAGATAAATCGTTCGATATTTAATTGAAATCTTGAATAAATTATATTTAATTAGGTATATTGAATTGGTGCTTCATATTAATAAATGAGCTTTTTAATGAAAATGCAAGGCAGATTTAGCTTTTGTGATCAGAACATTAAGGAATTTGCTAAATTAATGATCAGATTATATATTATTATCAATATATTATAATCAGTTGAAAAATTGTATTTAAACTCTCACGAATAAAGAAAAATAATTGCTTTAATATACATTTAGAATAAGGAATAGTATAAACTTTCGAATTTAAAGCGTCCGAAAGATTTATAATGAATCGTGCAAATAATTTCAGCTTTTTTGCACGTTAATTTTGTCTATTTGTATAATATATTTAATTTCCAGATATCCTTAATATACAATAATTTAAACTACTTTGACTCAACGTACCACGATAATGGCAATATCATGATGTTCGATTATATGTTCCGATTGTACCAAGCGATACTGCGGATGAATGAAAACATTTCCAATGTCAAAATTTGTTCCGTTCGCTCTCATTGTACTAACCGAGCCCGTATATATTTTCATATTGTGATATCGATGCTCCTTCTTATATAAACAATGTGCTGCCGTAAGAATATGCCATTCGCTAATGATCGAGCCACCACAAAAGTGCTGATTCTGTTTGAAATATCTAAGCGAAACTGCATATGGAAAATCTACTATATCGACTTTATATCCACCGACGATCTTCACGTGTTTGGCTGATATACCTTTAATGACGTTAAAAAAATAGTTTCAAAATGCCACATTAACATTTTCATAATGACGTATAGTTGTAAATTTTTTTCATTAGTTTTTATTCGCCTTCTAAAACTGTACGATTAAGTATATGAATTGAAGATATTTAAAAGAAGACTACGATTATGACTAACAAGTCATTAAATGATCATTTTTTCAATAATTGAAATATGAACATTACACTTATGACTTGTGTCATTATTTGTAAACAATCGGATATTATATTGTTACAATGGAAATAGTATAACATGCATATAGAAGAATATTTATTGATAATTTTAATCATCGAACGAATATATTAATTTGTTATGGCACTAAAAATATGAATCAATTTCAATTTAATCTGTTTTTTTTTTTTTTTTTTTTTAATTTTGATTTAAGATATTCATTGAATTGTCCATTATTTATTAAATTCTCAAAAATATTATTATGCGAAATAATTAAGTTACATTCGATTATGTTGTTCAATTTTTTTTTATTTCAATTCAATTCAAAATTCAAATCAGTTTGAAGAAAAATTTTAATTTTCGGAAATTTTGCAAATCATTGTTTTTACATTGATTAATATAATTTAATATTAATTAAAATAATATAGATTCAATTGAATAATATAATTTGGATTAATTTTGATGAAGATTTTTAAAATTCCACTCTTTACATAAGTTACAGTGAAATTAAAGAGAACATTGATTGTTGATTAATAGATTTGTCGATTACTCTTCAATTAATTCAAATAATTATAGATACTATTTCTGTAAATGACTATATTAAAAAAAAAAAAAAATAAATAAAAATAGTTTGATTCATATGCATTATTATAAATTTCATTATTATGTATAAATTAATTTATTATCATGTTTTGAAACTTATTTAAATATAGACATTTATAAAAGCATACTACATAGATAAATAAACAAATACCGTACAAAAAATACTGTATTTGTATGAAAATTTTCTTAGATATACGTTAAAATTTGACAAAAAAAAAAAAAAAAAAAAAAAAAAAAAAAAAATTTCCAAATTAAATTATAAAATAATTAACAAATATTCTTTAATAATTTATGAAACCCTTAGTATGGATTTTTTTCTTCTACAGAGCCTCATTTTCATTAAATATAAAAAGGTATTGTCAATTTTTTACTATTATATTTTGTTCACCTGTCCATGAATTCTATCTTATCATTGTATTTTCTTTATCATTATACTCTATAAATTATACTGACAAAATTAACAATTGAAAACATTTATCTCATTTATATTCGCAACTAAAATCATATGCGTAGATAACATGTAATAAATTAAATCGCAATCGGATAATTATTAAAAATTATATGTATTTAAGAATAATCATCAGTTTAGCATTTTAATAAATCTAAATATTTAAATTCACATCAAAAAGTTTATTTGACGTTTCGCAAAAGTTCAATAAAGTAGAAGAAATTAAATTTAACTTGATTAATTCTTTTTTTTGCAAATTTTTATAATTTTCGGTATTTTATTCAACATTAGCGTCTAAATAAGATGAATAATATTTTCATTTTTATAAAATATAATTACAGATAAAGATGTCTTTCAAATATTTACTACATCAAAGGTTACAATTCCAATTTTCAGATACCGATTTTTTGGCAATGACTTTGATTGAATATTATGAATAAATTTGAAAGTCGAATGGTAACTGGGTTTCGTTAGCTATTTCGTTCTGTTTTATTCCAAAATATCTTTTGAAATCGGGGTCAATTGGATTTTTTCCTTTTACGTTATTCATTTTAAGTTCAAGATAACTTTTTTTCACATAGTTTTTTCCTTTCCTTCCTCCTATAGTATTTTCTTTTACTCTATTTCTCTCTCTCTCTCTCTCTCTCTCTCTCTCTCTCTCTCTCTCTCTGTCTGTATACTTGATTGGTGGTTTACCGAAAGCAAAGGAAACTCGGTAATCAGAAGAAGAAATGAAACATAGCCATATTGTCAAGAGGTATGGAGCCGATATATTTTACCATTAAGGATAAGCTTTAAAAATATGGTGTTCATCTATTTATTTTAATTTATAATATATATCAAATTTTGTTGTGTTAAAAAAATCTTATAGAAATTGTTGATATGTTACTTATGAATTTTACATATAGACGTGAAAATGAATACAGATTTAAAAATATTCGTCGCTTGCTAACATAATTAAAACTATAATTATAAAATACTTTTTAACTTACCAATTATAAAAGTTAAAGAGAAATATATTAAATTTATAAGATTCATTGTACCAAATGAATGATAGAATATTTCAGCGTTTGGTTAATATAATTCTATTCAATGGTTGATTAGAATAATCCTTAATTTATATAAATAACAATCCTTGATTAATATTTGTATGAAACTTTGTATATTATTCGAGTACTGTGAATCACGAATAATCCCATGCAACTATAAGTTAAAAAACAAAATAAACAAAATAAAAACATAATTAAATAATAATAAACAAATTTAAAGAATATTAAATAAATGTGAAACAATTCTTAGATGAACAAAGTAAATGTTTTATTTTATAGACCAGATTTCAATATCATTAACGGGTGTATGTTTAAAAAAAAAAAAAAAAATTCAAATAATCTTCATTATAAAATCCTAACTTGTGCGAGAAATTTCAATTTCAATTTATCCCATTTAATTATTGTGTTAATTTTTTATATGCTTATAGCTTTCAATCTCTTAATTTATTTAACTAATAATATATTCTTCGATATTAACTTTACAATAATCTATAACAAGTGATTCCCAATTAAATAAAAGCGTTCTATATCATTCTAACTTCCCTTCTTACAATATTTGTACCTGATCCCCCTCTTCCAATAATCTTATGCATCATTATTTCATTATCTCTACTTTATTTCGGTCTTGGATTTTTATTGCAACACTACCAAGTAATTTTAATGTAAATCGTGCTCATTCAATAATTTTACTAATTTTACCAACGATAATAGGTACAAGTTTTTTTTTCTTTTATTTATATATTAATCGATGAGGTATGTATTTTTTCACTTATTTGATATTATCTCTCTTAATTAGGGTGAAAGGAATCTCGTATCTTGGGAATTTCCACGCGAAAAATCCTTACTTATCCGTACTTACAACAAGTTGGCAACTTACAATCACAAATTTCTATCTTTATAAAACTTGTTTATCTTTATAAAAGTATTTATAATGTATCAATTATTACTTCGCATCATTTCTTTGCCTTCAAAAAACTTTTTTGGTATAAATTGAATTAGTTGTGCCAGTTGTTATCTCGAGCATATTTTTCCCAACGACTTAATTTATACTGTACTGACAAGACCAGACATATCTTATTTAAATTATTGACTACGCGCTATAACAATATTTTCATATCATTAAAATATGTTCAATGTTTATAGTATCATTAATACACAAAACCATCGTCATTACAATATGAATTAAAGTCCCGAAAACATGTGCTCTTTTGGCTTTCAAGTTTTCGATAATTATTTCTATGTCAATTTGATAACTCTCTATAATAATCCGAAGTTCCAAGGCCAAAAGAATCAGAAGTAGGACAGGGCATAATTGCAGAAGAATGTGTGCGGATAAAAGCCTTTGGTAATGTAGTCTTAGTAAATCGCTGTTTTCGGGTGAATCGTTATTTTTTTTTTTTTAAAGTTATGCTTTTATCGTTCAGCCCTTCTGCGTCGATGCTCGTCGACTTTCTTATTAGACTTTACAAATAATATTTTGTATCATTATTTTTACTGATAAATTTATTAATATCATTATTATTTATATAAGCATACGGTTAAGTAATAATTTTTATTTAGTTGGTAGTAATGATATATAATATGGAATACGAGAGTGAAATAAAAATTTTTAATTGTATTAATAAAGTATGTCGATAGTAAAGATGAAAATATTATTTACGTTATCTACAAATTTTGTTATAATACATAATTGATATAAATAATAATTTCGATTTATTAAGTATTTAAATACTTTGATTTTTTTCCCCGTATGTGCGTATAAATAAAAAGCATTCGTTGATCAATTGTTTCTCATTTAATACTTATTATAAAATTTGTACGTATATGATGGTCAACTTTAAAAAATTTGCCAGGTAATAAGAAAGTACCTAATTTCTTTTAATCAAAATCAACTGAAATTGTCAACGTACTCCCCTTTCAAGTAAACGCTTTTGAGCGATACACTCGATCTTCTTTAATCGTCATTTAAAAAATAATGGACGTCTAAATATACAGATTTATGCGTGATTTTTTGTGATTTTTTCGTTGATTAGAATTTTTTGTTTTCCAAGTCAAATTTTGAATTTAATAAATAGAATGATGACACTATAAACGAAATATAGCAATGTCGATGATTGATCAGTTGGGCTAGTAACATGAGAATTTTTACTTTTAAAAATATAAATTCAAATGCTATGTAAAGGCTATTTATTAATCGACTAATACTGTATGTGAATTAATAAGATATCGAGCAGAGTGAGAATTATAGCGAAGAATTATAATTCTTCCTTGCTCTAAATGCGCATCGTATGCGCAGTACTAAAAATTACTGAAACTACATTCGAATTAAGTTGACCACCACTTTATATGATAAATAGTATAGTAACGGTAATTAATAAATAGCTTTGTAATTGTATTTATTTATTAATATATACATAACGTATTTTACGAGTAACAATTTCTTTTATTGATATTAAATTGATTTATATTGATATTAAAGTAAAGCTTTAATTATGAAAATTTGAGAATCAACATTTTAACATTGCATATGTAAGTTGTAATAAAATAGTAGTACTCGCTAAGAACAAAATATAGTTTACTATGTTTATTGTATTTTTATATTAAGTGATCTTAAAGAATAGATAATTTTTAATTTAGTTACTGATTTTATATATTAAGTAGTCTATTATATTTTCATGCCGAAATTTCATAAATTTTCTTTAGTATCATTATTTTAATTGTATACCTTATATAAATACATAACCAATAATATAAATAATTATTCGTTTAATAATAATTATGTCTTTTTATAATTAATTTCAATAACAATCTATAGATATTTTTTGTATAGAAAAATTTTTTATTTAAATTACTCCCATTCATAGTAGTTTTTGTTTATCATCTGCATTATGTTATACTACATGATACCTTTATGATTTCACACAAATATTTATCAATTATTATAATTGAAATTTATTTAATAAATATAGTTAATTTTAGATCCGTGAAGTTGTGCTTGTCTTACAAAATATCATCCTAAACAAACGAATTTATCATTCGTTTTACGATTAATATTTACTATTGTAATTACAAAACAATTGCTCTTAATAGTTCTATTTTTATACTTCTGTTTTGAAATTTACAATTTATAAATTAAATTTATTACATCTTGAGGCTTATGTAAGAATAATGTGAAAATAAGAAAATAAGTGACGAGCATTCAATTTAGTTTAAGCATTATAATGAATTGATAAAATAGTATATATTTGAAGGCTATTGCTAGTGTTTTATGAATCAGGATGAAATTTTATCCTGAAAATCTTACTCCTTCGTGCTTTTATTATAAATTTTGCAATTCGAAGTTTTAATAATATAACTCACTTGAGCACTTTAACATATACACTTATATAATCATTAAACTCGTAAAACAAATTTACTTTACGAAATAAAAAAGTTTCGCATGTAAATTTATGTGCAATCCATACAAAATTTAGCAATAAATTATCATAATATTCAAATTCTATATCTATATACTAATCATAATGTAATCATATACTTAAGTATAATTTTGATTCTGTTACAACTAACTGAAAAGTTATATACTATCTATATTTGTGTAATAATGAAAAAGTCGAATTGTAACGACAATAATTAAGGAATTAATTCTTATAATATAAAATGAAAATATGATTTAATAAGATTAGTTTTAAGTTTTCTCTTTTATATGATCTAATCATTTTATTTATAATTTTTACTTATTTTTACATATTAAAAATACTTACAATTAAGGAATATTCTAAATTTATCGTATGTCTAGACATATATCAGATATTTTCATTGTAAATTCAAAATCATAGCTTTTATAATGAATGATTCAAATCACTTAATAAAAAAAAAAAAAAAAAAAAAAAAAAAAAAAATATATATATATATATATATATATATTTTTTTGTCGTTTTTTAATTTTACATTGTACTGTAATGATATTTGTTCACACAATGTATAAAAAATATTGTCTTTCTTCTCAATATTATAAATACTGACTGCTATGACTCAGCCTATTCACACTATAAACTTTCACTATATTAATACACGAAGTAGTAGATATCAAGTATATATATAAAGTATGAATTAATGCTTTTCACTTCCTTATCAATAATCTTTCATTTATAATTTTTATAATTGTAACGAGACTGTTCTCATATAGTTTAATTCTAATTAAATGCAAACGCTTACTCTTTTACATAAATTTAGATATATTTTGATATAACCAAAGTAAGAGTAGCTTTATATATAGTAAAATTTTAATATAAAAAATTATCTAACCAATCTCTTAAATATGTAAAAGACATAAATATTGCTTATATTTATCTAAATATTATTATATATTATTCATAAGTATATTAAAGACGCTATAAATGTGTATACTATGATTCTCATTCCGTATCATTTTTTTTTTCTATCTATAATACAGTCAAATTATTATACCATAAGTAACTTATCATTAAAATAAACGACAAAGTAAAGCAATATTCTAATATAAATTAAGAATAGTTCTATTATTAACAATAGCAATATTATAATAGGATTTAACAATATATGTAAATGTATATGCATTATATACTACATAACTTAATTTATGTAATTTATAGGTTACATATTTTAGAATCTATATCAATTAAATAATTATAAAATATTGTTTTCATTATCTTTAAAATACAAACTTTTACCTAAACATTTTTTAAATTCGAAAATCTATTGATTTTTTAATCGATCGGTACGATAATCATTTCGCTACTGAGCATCAAAAGATTGATGTTTTATAACACGTTTCTTATAAGTCATACATTTTCTTCTATTAAAGATATTTATATTCATTAAATGAACGCTACATATATCTTTTTTATATAAATAAAATGTTAAAAAATTAGAAATAAATAAACCTGGCCATAGTATTAGACATATAATATATATATATATATTTTTTTCTTTTATAAATATCTAATAATAATTCTTAAACATTAAGAATAATTAATTGATGTATATCGATTCATGTGGTTAGAAAAAGTTTCAACATTATTAATTGGTGCTATTTCAGCTTTTTATAATAAACAAATTTATTTTTCTATATAATTTTATATAAAATACTTTATCGAGTGTTTATAGTTTTTAATGATATTTCTATTAATAATAAATTTATATGAAAATTCACAATATAGATGAAAAAATTTAGAAAATAAATTGTGATGATGTAAGATCGTGACTATCTTGAGTATTACGAATAACTTTTGAACGATTTTTTTAAATAAATGGACTCTATATACTCTATATTATTTAATAAATATCTATCATTTCTCGAGATATTTGGATAAACCTTTTTGTTCATCATTATCTTGTATGTAGTTTTTGATGAAACTTAAATATGAATAAACATTCGTGTATATGTCAGGGAATCCCTGAGCACATGGAGCAGTAAAGGAAATTATTCCGAAAATTACTCTATTAACTGTTAATGGGCTACCACTGTCACCCTGAAAATTGAAAGCAAAAATTGTCAATTGTTTTTATTTATATTTCAATGAGAGAGCAAAATAATAAAATATACAGATGTTAATGTAACAAGTTTTACTATGGAGAAGCACTAAATTGATTTATATAATAGTAATTTAAATTTGATTATATTGTCTCTTAATAATATCTTTAAAAAAAAAAAGACTCACTGTACACGCGCCAACGCCTCTACTATGAAACGCACAAAACTGTTCGTTTTTTAATTCAAATGGAACATATTTTGAACATAAAGAATTATTATAAATTCTCATGTAAGATTTTTGTAACTGATCGGAAGTGCTCCCTCCGTAAAGTTTCTGGCCCCAACCAACTATCATAGCCATTGTATTTTCAACAATATTTGAAGTCGGAAGATCTATTTTTTGTTGATATTTATTGAAATAAATCTGTGTTTTCAGCTATTAAAATAAAATTTGTTATAACTAAAAGGATAAATTACGTAGAAAAATATGTTTACAAATACATTAGAATTTTAATTCAGATCTTAGTCAAGTACACAAGTATAAATAATATGGTCCTAAATTATTAATTCCAAGATAATTGAAATAAGTAATGAGCTTATGAATGTAAGTATGAATTAATAGTGAAACAATGAATTTTATCAATAATAAAATAATTGTTTTATCTATAAAATTGTTAATGTTCAAAAATACATCCAACAGGTAATTTTTATCTTCATGCAATCTATGTATAATAAAATTTTAATAAGAACGATTAGTTGTATAAGTTGGTTAAATAAAAATAAGTAACATCTAATATTACTTGAATATAAATTATTTATATTTTTATATTTTTCTTGTACATTTTTAATTAAAATGAAATCAATTTTACAGTTCAAATAATTATTCATTGCCTTCGTTTTTAGATGAGAAAAAATAAATGAGATAATAATAAATAAAATAATTATAAATATTTGTAAATACAATTATTTTTATGCTTATTTTAATTGCAAACAATAATTGATTATTTAATTATTTAAAGAGGTAAAGTTCAGGTTAATTTAAAACTTCAAATTAAAACTTATCTTATATGATTACATATTATTTTTTTCCAATTTATTGTTCCATTCTTGAAATATATAAGAATTATTATTACTACGAAATATTTTACTAAATAGCAAAATACTATAAATGTTTGCTTACGAATAAATTATCACTATTTATTATTGGTATTAATTCATTAGTTTCTATTTATATTTAGTAATAAAAATGCTTAAATTTAGTTATAAATATTATTTATTTTATAAATATTTATAGTACAATTCTAATACAAAGTTGCCGAGTAAAATAAAATCATACAGCATTAGTAAGTATATTAACAATACCCACATTAATAATATAAACAATTGACACTTTAATGATATTTTATGACTCTGTTTTCAACATACCGTAATAATGGCGATGTCATGATGATCCATTGCTTCTTTCGATTTTATGCCCACAAATTGTGGATGAATCATTGTATAATTAATATCAAATCGTTGACCGCTAATCCTTCTTGAGTTCGAAATACCTGCGTAAATCTTGACATTATCATATTCATCTTGTATATAGAATAAACAATGGGCTGCCGTAAGGATATGCCATTCGCTGATGATCGAGCCACCACAAAAGTGCTGGTTTTCTTTGTAATATCTAATCGATACTATATAAGGAAATTCCATAATTTCGGCATCTTCACCCCCGATAATCTTCGTTCTCCTGCCATAAATATCTGGAAGCATTATATTTATTCATAATACGAGATGAAAAGTATGTATTATCGGCATACGAATAAATTTTAAGCGAGTCATCTCCACTCAGTTAGTAAATAATAAAATGAATTATTTAGTCTAATTTTATTTCTTAAAAATTTAATTCTTATGAAAAATAGCAATTAATAATTTTGAAATTTAATAATAATACATTTTAATGAATATAAATTTAATAAATAAATATAAAATAATATAAAAATATCATCTTCAAAATATATGAGGACGATATAACGTAATTTTCAAATATAAAGAAAAAAATAACTAATGCTTTTTAATAAAGTTCAATTTTAAATGAAAAATAATATTAAAAATAGTAAAACTAGCTTATTAAATATATTTAACGAGGAAATATTCAGTAGAGAAAACTTTTAAGAAATATAAGTCATTATTTTATGCATCTATTCCATTTCCGATTAGCAATAATAAAAATAATAACTGTACATAATATATTTATAATAATAATAATTATATTGAATTGAATTTTTTTTTTAAAAAATATAATTTTGAAAAATATATCGTTGATCGTAATATCAAATATCACATTTAAGAAATAATAAACCATCATTGGAATTGGTATAATATATATTTGATTAGTATGAGAATAGTAACTGAATACTCGTTAATATAGAAAGTTAGATAAATAGACAAATTTGAAATATTTTAAAAAACAAAAAACTCATGTTTACTAAAATGGAAAATAATTATTATATAATATTAATTAAATTTATGAACATTTGTTAACATAATTAATTTTGATATTACCAAGTACCAAGTATTTTATATATATGTCTGTTTAAAATTTTAAGAATATTAATATTAAAAGTCAATTTTACGTTAGCAATATATAAAATGTTGTAACAATAGTATAAAGTGTTGGATTCCATTAACCATTTGAAGAAAAAATTTACACTAGACAAGATGACTCTTCATTACTAATAATATTATACATGTAGAAATAAATTCTATTTGCTTGGGACTGTTATTTACGTCAATGATATGTGGATTGTCAATATGCTATATCTTACGAGAAATAAACTATTGTTTTCAGATTTTATATATTTGTCAAATACTAAAAATCCAAACAAGAATCAGTAAAAATTCAGTTTTATTCTATATAATAGATGATGAAACTACTAATATAGAATATATTAAAATAAGTAATTATACAAGTGAATATTTACAAAATACATTTCTTTGTAAGTTTCAGATGTAGTTGTAAGACTAGAATGCGCACGTTTATTCGTCGTCAAATGAAATTCTGAATTTTAATGACAGTTTTATAAAGGGCCCAAGTGAATGTTATTTAAACGAACGAATCTAAATATAACTGAACGAGCAAGTAAGACTACTATTAATTCATTGGAAAACACTTAATTATTTTTATATTATGGTAAATATATAGATATTTAACTAAATTTAATTATGACTGAGTGGTATATTTTAAGTATTTTTAAAAATATTGAAATTTTATATAAACTGCATGTTAAGTCATAATTTAATAAAATATATAAATATATTTTGATATATTTCAGTAAGTATATTTCATTAAATTTATATATATATATATATATATAATTACAATATATTTTGTATGAATATATTTATAATTTCTATTAAATAAATTTGATTTAATTAATTAATATGAGATATATTTTCATTAAATTTTCGAATTTTAATGTGACTTTTCATTGAATATAACATTTCATAGAAACAAAGTAGGCTTAATATAAAAATGAATGATTTTACTTACCGACACATAATAGCAGACAGAAATATATCAGAATTTGCAACCACATATTATCGTACATAAATGATTCAGTCAGATATCAATTTTATCTGTTACTTAAATATGCTGAATTACTTCATTACCATAACACAATACACCTATCATTATTTTATTTTTATGTACCTTAAATGTTTTATTGCGTAAAATGTTCACGAAACCATAAATAATCGAAAGCTTTTTCATTCTATTTCATATTAATCTCAGTTTCCATTTTCATTCAAATCAAATCTCCAAGCAATATTATGTAATTTATGCAAATCACAGCTTAAAATATCTTAAAGATAATTCGAACTTTAAATCTGCAAATTTATAATGAAATAAAATTTGCATTTTTGACTGAGCATACTAATTATCAAAATGTTTCAATTCCTCATATTCATTTATGAATGTCTAAAGATTCTAGTGAAATATATTGACACTTTATGTAAAATAATCTATTTATCATTCTAATCAATGTCAGTTACTTTAAATTAGGTTTAATACATAAAATTCTCGTTAAAATTTAAAAATTTATATAAAAAAAAACCCATGGCTTAGAATGAAAATTCACTTTATGATAATAGTTTATTCAATGTATTGTATTGTTAATGAAATTTTATATTGATGTTAATTAATTAATGTATCATAATTCGAAAATGTTGTATAATAATTAATATAATTAATGTCCCGTAAAATTACTTTTTCTTGAACAAAATTAACTTTGTAGTAAGAATTAAAGTTTCTATTTATAAATATTAATATAATTCAACTAAAATTAAAAATAAGTGGCAGTTAACTTTTCTATTAAACATTTGTTATCATTGATAAATATTTACATTATTAGATACTCAAAGATTACTTTTCCCAGAATTATTTTGTCGTCTGAATATTTCAATATTTAATTCAAAGATATTGTAATTACATAAGTAATATTTATTTAAATTACTTATTTTACTTAATTTATTTATAAATTTCAATTAAAACATCCTTAGTAAGACAGATAAAAATTAAATATTTGTTCTTATATTATATTATAACATATCTTTTCAGTAAATATAAATGCAAAGTCATATAATTATATATAACATTTGTACACGTTTATAAAATATCCACATAATTACTTGAATATTCTGATACACATACTTTATAAAGAAAATTATATAGTCAATTTTAAATGTTTAATACAATATATAGTATTATACATGAGAAATGATGTTTATTAAATATAATATGAATAAGATAGTTATTCGAATAATTGTATCAGGATTTTTTTGAATACATTGTGTATATTCGATACGCATCATAATCTTCTTATTTTTACCAACACAATATGCAAAAAAAAAATTAAAAAATTTGACATAAAAGCAGCGTATAAAAATAATTTATATTTAAAATATGAATTAATTGTTTTATTATGAAATATTTATAATGATAAAACAATGGTTAAATTCGAATAAATTAAGATCTTCTTTTATTAATTTAAAGCTATGACAATATAAATAAAATATAATTTAACAATGAACCTCATTCTACTGTACTCAATCTACTTTCATTTAAATCAATGTCAAATCTAATGGGGTACTCGTAAAAAAAATAACTTGAATATTTGTGTGAAACTCTAAGTTGTATCAACTAAATTCTACATACTAAGGTGATGAACGATGGTACTTTTACTAGTAATTTTAATAAAATCATTAGGTTGTGTTAATTATACCAATATTTTTAAAACAAATCATATAATTTATAATAAATAACTTAATAGATTCAGCGATTTTTTTATTTAATGGAATATTTAAGTGAATCTTCTTGAATCAGAGTAGAAATAGAATTATCACTATTTTATTATTATTATGCATATCCGGAAAGTAAATATGTGTCCATAAGGCAAATTCGTTGTATAAATGAGATTAGTAAGTTGTAATATATATTAGAATAATATGCACCTGAATTTTTTACATTGTTTTTCTTCTGCTAAATCATCCGAGCGCGATATCGGTATTGAAATAGAGCGATATTTTAAAAATAGAATATATGACATTATTATCAGAACTTAAATAGAATAGTATTGCAGATTATTTCAAAGTCTTTGATTAATAATAATAAACGATTATAAACGACACTGATTGTCGATCTACTAAGTACTAAGAAGTTTTAGTACACTAATGCTCATTTACCCTCTCTTTTACAAAGATAATCACTTTAATAATTCGAATATATACTATTATTAGCTTTACTCTATTAGATGTGATTGTACAATTATAAATATTCTTTCAATCTATGACTGAGTACATTTATTAAATAATTTTAACAAAAAAAGCAATAAACAATTTCATTACACATCTTATAAGTCTATAGAAAAAGTATATATCATCTGTATACTACTAAAAGGAATATATATATATATATATATGTATGCGTACACATTAATTTGTTTGATACATTAATTTATTAAACATCGATATACCAATATCAATGAATATTGATATTTAAGTACTGGGTGCATTATTTTTTAGGCTAATTAATAGTGCTGATTGATTCATCCATTACAAATTTTTTATTTACGATTAATTTTATATTTAAAGTTAACTATTTATTTAGACTTGTCTAATATTGAAATACATTTAATTTGATTATTTCGTTGTTTATGTTATTTTGTAATCAAATGGAGGTAATAAACAAATCATTTTTCACTTTTACATCTTTAAATTGACTGTCTAATAGTATCATTATTTTTTTTTTGTTCGATATATATATTGGTCGAAAATTATATTTATAGTGAAAAAAAAATCTTTTTCTATGAATCTCTGTTCATATATTTTACTAATAAATATAAATAATTCTATTTGAAGCAAAATATTAAATCCTTATCTGTTAAAATATGAAATTTTATATATATTTACAAATAAAATGTTTTGTTTTATCTGAGCTTCATTTAAATAGTGCAATAAAAAGTATTCTTGATAAGTAAAATGTGATTATACGTGTTATAGAGTATTATGCATTCCATTTTTTTTTAAATTTATAATAGAAATACCAGATGGAGATAAACATAACATTAGACGCAATAATCAAAGAATGTATAAAATTATTGATGAATTTATATAGAATTATATCTGATTTTATTCAAATTTTATTTTATTTTATTTTAGGCAAAAAATCATCTATTGTTTCTATTTTTAAAATATTAACATTTTGGATTAACAGTTGCAAGGATTTGCATAAGTTATTATAGGAAATCATTAAGAAAACCTAATAAAACAATCAAATTTGAACGCATATGTAAAATTAATTTAAGTTAATGTAAATAAATGTCGATTTACAACAGTTTACTTCTTTTCATTGATATGATTAATTGACGTTGGTATTTGCTTATTCAATTGTTACATAAAACTTCATTTATTCTTTTATAAATACAATATGGAATTTTTTTATTTACTTTTTTTTAATATTTTATAATTCCATAAATTTATATAGTCATATATTGTTGCTCTTGACATACTCTAAGAAAATTATTTAATATCATAGGTATATTATTTTGTTAATAATACATTAATAAAACTTGTTATAGATTAATGATTATTTAATATTATTCAATATAGATAATGAATTTTTATAATGTTATAAATCTATAATTCTGGTAATTTTTTAGATAGATCATTTTCATATTTTAAACAAAATAGAAAAAAACTTAAGGCTACTTATTTGTGAATATTATAAAACATGGAAGCATTTCATATTAATTTTTCATTGTATTCGATCAAGATATATTATCGGAGTTTCTTGTTTAAATAACTGGTTTTACTTTACGATCTTATGGATTTATCTACCTTGAATAAATTATATTAATGTATTAATTTGATTAATATACTTATCATGATTTTAAACAGACAAGTCGGCATTAAAGATATAATCAACTTCGTTTGAGTTTTTCAAATGTGTTTTATATAAAAAATTTGTACAAGTGAGTTTAAGACGTATGGTACAAAATCTTTATTACACAAAAATTAAATTCAAAGCAAAAATACTATTGTACATTATTTCATTTTATATCAGTATTTCATTTGTTTATTTTAAAACGCTGTAAATTAGATTTAAATACTAGTTAATTAAACTATTAAATAATTCTAAGTATTAAAAATATTGTTAAGTCACGAAACTGTAAATTAAACTTATATATGAGCATTATTATGCGTCGTTACGTAAATCCTTATATTATTTTACTGGACATTATATAATCTTGAAGTATTATTAATAAATTTTACTATCTACAATTTATGAATACAAACAATAGTATTACATAATAATAAAAATAAAAAAACTCATCATTCTTCCTAATTTTTTCAATTATAATATCTATTATTTACTTATGTGGATATTCTATACTATAAATTAAAATAATAAGTGTACAATTATTATAGTGAAATTTAAAATAAATTTTATTAAAATTATTTTTAGTGTAACAAATAAAATTTAATTTTTAAATTCTTATTGATTAAACAATTATTATTAAGAATTTGAATTTTTCTTATGTTAAGATTAGAAATTGTGCCCTTTGTACGTACAATGTCTTAGTTAGTTTTAAATTCAATAAATATTATTAGATTTGCTTTGGTAGTTTCACAAATGTAATGAAATGCTTTTCAAAATATCAACTTCAAAACAGGCAAAAATATAAAACTTTTTTTTATAGAATTTTGTATTATATATACCTTTAAATATAATGAATAATCATATTTTTAAAAAAACATCCGCTTTAATATCCGAAATAATCATTCACCTGAGTCAACGAGCACATGATTGACGAAATAAAATTCCTATAAAAACAAATGACAATATTTAATTATTTCATCATTTAATAAATATCAATTTTAATTAAAAAATTTAATAATTAAATAATTATAACTTAATAATTTCTGAAAATTTAACATGGGAATCGAAGTTATTTATAGAATCATTTTTATTACCATTTATATGATAGCGGAAAAGTCGTAAATCTAATGATTACATTAGTTTCAATTATACGTACATTGTTTCCTCATAAATGAATAAAATTAATTGGAATTAAGTGTCTTTATAAATATTAAGTAAATTATTAAACATTTTTAAATATAAAAAATATAATTAAATATATCTTCATTCGTCAACTTTATTATCAAAAAAATTATACATGTATTCATACAAGTATAGTTATAGTGTTATAGTTGCATATAATAGTGTTATAACTAACTATTATAGTTATATATAACAGCATTATAGTTAAGTATTATAATTAATATTATTAATTTTAATTCAAACAGTAAATAGTTTTATATAGATTAGACTACAAATTTATGAACAGTGAGTTTAAGTGACCGTCTAGATAATTTTTTATCAAAGCATTAGATGGTAATAAAAATTAAACATAAGTAAAACTATGTGATAGATACTTCATTACACATGATATCACTAAATAGAATTCAAAGTCATGCAAATTTGTAATGTTCAAAAGTTTTGACTAAAAAAATTTTATAGTTATACGAGATTTTATTTAAAAAAAGATAAATTAATAATAAATAAAATTTAAGTAACACAAGAAAATTGACTAAATAATACAAATATTATTTTGAAGTCAGCACAATATGATATATTAATAAATAATAACAAAATATTGAATACTTTTCTATTATATTGATATTAATATATATTAATCATTCTCGTTATTAATATTTTAATAATTGAATAATTAACATTATAATTAATTTTTTGGTCACGTTTAACCATTGACATTATATATCCGAACTGAAATACATAAAATAATATCGATTCTAGTAATGGATAACTAATTAATTAATAAAAAGATCTTTTCTCACTTTACTTTCATTCTCAAGATAGAGCTGTACGTGTACGATCGTGTATGTTTTCCATTATCAATGATAATAGAACAAATTAATATGTATGATTTATCAAAAACATTGTAGGGTTAAGTAATATGTGGCAACACGATGTCTTTACCTTGTCTGAGACAATCCTGAACTGCCCTATAATTAATAAATATACAATACTTTTGACACTTTAGTGAGAATCAGATCTTCATGAATTTGCTTAATTCCTAAAATTATATTAGCTTATTCTATTTTAGATAATTGTGAAAACATTCTTATTTAATAAAATTTACTAATAAACTCAGTGGCTGTTATGTTGGGGTATTTATATTCTACTGAAAAATGATTAAACTATATAATTCAATTTATTACGAATTTAACAATTTGAAGTCATCCGGGAGTTCCATTTAATTTACCAGGGTGAAGTCGGAGGTCCGTTTGATAGGAAACTCGCCGGTTTACCTTCAGTAATGAATCCATGCGCCACTGGTAAACCTGATATATATATATATATATATACAAAAATTTACTATTATATCGATTTTATAGATGATGTAATGACTTCATAATCCATTACTCATTAATATTGTAATGAACAATTAAATATATTCAAATCTACCGACCTATCGCCAACAGTATTTTACCAGCCAATCCACGTCATCCCCACCCCTTCACCGCCATTAGCGTTAAAATAATCGTATCTAAGTAGGGCAATGTTAGAGATGACAATAGATTTAACTTATAAATAAAAGCAAATTTCTTCGACTTTTGCCTCCAATGGTAAATAAGTATTTATCCAATATTCGTTTCGAGAATTAATAAAGGTAATGATTTGTCTGTGGTGTTAAATATGTATGGAGAATGAGTCGCTAACGTTTCATGGATAATTACGTAAGAAATAACTGAACAAGCTACTCAGGCCAAATCGAAAACTAGTTTCATTCGTTATTAAATTTCTGCTAAATTTAATTGTAAGTCAGCGACGGGTTCGTTCTATGAGTCACATTGCATTGCTCCACGAGATCCGTTTGCCAAAATCATCCCGAGGAAGGCTAATTAAGAAAATAATAGATTATCTATCGATGAGCTGAGAGATAATCAATTGAAAATCGAAAGGTTCGAGGCTCCTTATCACTGGCCAAGTGCAACTTTGAGTTCTTAATGTCACTCGGGGATGGCAAAAGTAAGGCTCTGCGCGATCGAAGAGCTCCGCCATTGTTTCACTATTTTGGATCTTCTTAATATATTTCATATTTCGAACATTGAATGATGAACGCTTAAATAACTCCGACTTTATCACGATTACTTGAATATATATAAGAATTATAAATTTTTTTGAAATTTTATTATTTCAATGTACGTTGTTTATTCTGAGCTTCTAAGCGACTAAATCTACGTATGTAAATGTGAGAACCGCAATTTGTGCGTAAATCCAAATGAGGAGCACGGAAATTTGAAAGTCAGTAATATTTTTGTCTGCGTTGTTTTCCGTTGTGTAAACAGCTTCGCTTCGCCATTCACAAGGTGAGAATGACGAATGGGGGGACGCGTAGAGCAGATTAATGATGATAGACTAATTGATATGGAGATTGAGGTAAAAAGAGAGCCTTGATATAGAATCGTAAGGTACTTGAGTTAAGGAACCTTGGAAACCATGGCGAAAAAAAAATTACTTAATGGATTAATTAATCGCGAAAGCTGGCGAGCATAAAAAACAAATATTTCAAAGAACTCGAACATCACATCAAATTATGAATATTTATGAAAATTCATATTTCTGACCGACAGATGACAGCTCTATAAATATATCGAACGATATATTCATTATTATAATTATAATTTTTTATCACGATAGATATTATAATTTTTATCACTCACAATAATTAACGTTTTGAATAATACATATTGAATAACCGATATTATACAAATTTTTGTTCTCGTCGTATTCGCAAATGTATTCTCTAATGCATTAATTGACAATTGATTTGTTAAAATGTAAACCAATGACGATATTCAAAGTTTATTGGCAAGTGTGATTTTATATTCAAATCCATGCACATAGTCGACGAACATTTATTATTAAAGACGAATATTAAAACCAAGTATTTGCAAATTTTATTAACTCTCCTACAAGTTTTAAACAGTATACTTTAGCTCATTGAGCAAAAAGTAATAGATTTTACAAAATACCTATAAGCTAGTAACATTATAGAATAAATTTAGTTATTTGTATATGATTTGCATCTAATTTTATTGAATACTTTTCTAATAAACGACATAAACAAAGACGCACTAATTTATTTAAGTCGAAAAATCAGATAATTTGTTGACTTTTTATTTGTAATATACACGGTCGGTAAGTCAATATCATAATCGCAATATTATAATTAATAACTTTTATATAGTTTATTATTATATCAACAAATCGAATATAATATATTAACCAGTTATTATCAATTCTCAATAGGTATTTATCTAAATAATATTCAAATTTCAAACACAATTATTTATTACGTTCTTTCAAATATAATATTTAATAAAAGTGTTTGCAAGCCTACATATATATATATATATATATATATATATATTTTTTTTTTTT